GGGTTTTAAAACGTCCGAATACCCGTGTGGGTTCCGGGGCCCCATTGTAAGGAAAACAAGAATAGATCCCCTACCTACCGGAACGATGTCGCAAAAGTCGATTAATTGGGAGCTTCCTTTGAAGTCGGAGTGCATCTGCTTGAGAGGCAAGGAACCAACAGTCTGCATTCAAGTGAATCGCATCTGTAAAATGATGCACACGCAACACTCAGGTTCTGGAGCAGGACTGCAGTCCATAAGTGGACAAACAACCAGAACTTTCCTCCAGTGTACAGCTGGTAAACGCGAAGAAGAAGAAGAAGAAGAAGAAGAAGAAAAAGAAAAAGAAACCGTCTGAAATCTATCGAAAAATAAAGGCCAGTTTTTGTGTCACAGGAAAGTGTTTGAATGGGTGCGAAGATTTAGCACACACACACACACACACAAACAGAAGGGGTAGCGTCAATGATGAAAAGCTGACGAAGAGACCTGCGTGGCAGCAGTAACAGTGAAACAGTAGTAAGTTCACGACAAACGACAAGTCACTACTGGTGAAACTGGTGTAGAATCCCATAGGAGTCATGGTGCTGCATACAAAATTGTTCATGACGACTGTGGGTACAGGAAAGTATGTAGCAGATGGGTTCCAAGGCAGTTGTCCGATAAACAGAAGCACACTAGACAGGCAATTTGTCAGGAGCACTTAGACCGTCATACAAGCGAATGAGTTGTTTTTCATGATCGAACTGTGACAGGTAGTGAGTCCTGGGTGCACCAATAAGAACCAGAGAGTAAGAGACGATTGATACTGTAGAAGCACCCGGCGTCTTCGCCACCAGAACAAATTCAAGACACATGTTTCGGATAGAAAGGTCATGCCAACCATTCTTTGGGATGTTGTTTATTTTTTATTTTTAAAGTATCCACAAACCTTGAGTTGTTAACCCTTTGGCTTGGTATTATGGATATGGCAACTCTTCGGCCTTGATTTCGTGAAAGGTACCGTAAATCTGGGAGAAATGGGGCTTTTCTGTCTACCCAACGAACCACAAGGAGTTTATCACCTGGTCACCGCGTAGTCAGGTTTAACCAAATACGCTAGCGAGTCGGGCTTCTTTGGGATGTCAATGGCCCTACACTGTCGCATTTCCAGGAAAGAGGTTAAGCTGACTTAATTATCGTTACAGGGACACGTTAACCAACAAGTGGAAGACCGCGATCAGATGGAAACGTAAGGGTCTTCCCTCAGAAAGAGTTTTGCTGCTGCAGGTCAACCCCTGCCCCTCCTGGGCTATCCGTTGTCTATCACTCCCCTGCCCATATGCAAGCACATCATCGGCAAATGTCAATATCTTTCCAACACCTGGTGTTTCAAGTTCTGCAATCTTGCTCGAAATTATGAAACTGTCCTTTGTCATTTTAACATCCAATCTACACTTTGAAATTTCCAAACTTAAAGGAATGTAAGTAACAAAATACAAACTCATTAAAGTAAAACAAACGAATGAACTAACTATGGTTGTGAATACATTGATATGTTTATTAAGTATTGCTGATATGTTTTTAGTTACAAATATCAGACCAAGTACTTTACTGGATGAAACAATCACATTTTTTAATGGCTCCAAGATCACAATATTCTAACTAAAAATTATTTTCTCAACTCTTTGGGCGTCTCCTTGGCAAAGTGATCTAGCTGTTTGCCTTGCACTCTGAAGGTTGTAGAATCATTCCACGGCTGTGCCCCTCAGTTCACAAGGTCAATTCTTACAGAGATTTTGGGGGAAACATCGGAAGCTGAGGAGCTCATGCTCTGTGTGGTGCTCTCGGTATGTGGCTATCCGTTTTGGGGAGAGAGACCGAGCCATGTTGGATAAAACCCGATGCAATGAAGTCAGTCCTCTCGACTTTAACTTCTCAACTCTTTTCAGCACCATCTTAGATTACTGTAACTCTTTCTATCCAAAACCTCATAGCTTAGATTACTGTAACTCTTTCTATCCCAAACCATTGTAGCTTAGATTGCTGTAACTCTTTCTATCCCAAACCCTTGTAGAGTATAGTAGCCAAAGTTTGATTTTAAAGAATACAAATAATTACACTATAGTCAGATGGCATCAAACTAACAATTCAGATGTAACAATATTACACTGCTGAACTGTTGGCGACAAGTTCTGCTATCATCAATGATGAACTGCATTTCTAATGTTGAACTGTTTGTGTTAGCACTTCGGATGGCTACCATATGCTTTAATACGAGTGTATGCTAGATATGCTGAGACAGCAGTCTGTGAATCTTTCCACAAGGGACTGTGATAAACATTCTGGGTGTTTTTCGTTGGCGCAGGAGCGGAGCAAAGATGGGGCGACCCGTTGCTATGAAGCTGAAACTAAGACTACCAGACTACCAGCTGACTGCAAGAAGAGAGTCAGACATGCAAACTGTCTTTAGACTAACCTGTGATCATACTGTGTGCTGTGGGGTACAGAAAGAGTTCACAATATTTTAACTGAATACATTCTTATCTCTGTCTATCAGTTAAAATATCATCTCTGGTGTTTGACATTTCCTGAACTCATTTTTTGACAGGCCTTTTGTCATGGTATGGAAAGGTAACAACATACAAACTGATACATGATATTGGAGATTGAGGAGAAGCATGATCGCTCACGCCAGTTGGCAAGGCAATTGATGATGATGAAACACAATTAACTCTTCAAGTACTAAGCAGGGATGCTTGCCTAATAAATGGAATGAATTGAAAACAGGTGAAAAAAATAAGATAAAGGAATAAACTGTGAGTCCTATGTGACATGTAATGGCATACCAGGATAATGTTTATGATGAGATCATAAATTATGATAATAACACTATGGGACAGAAGGGGGTTAAGAAAGATGCGGGGCACAGTGATGTAATAACTGGATGGGTTAATTTTAAAAAAAATAAAGAAAAGTAGACTAGTCAGCTGACACCAACAATGCATGGTGAGATTCTTCAAACCGCAGGAGTTAAATTGCCAAAAAAAATAATGGACACACTAAAAGCAAAAAATATGGCCAATTTTAACTCTGGAAAGAGAAACAAACTTTTACTCTGGAAAGATCAATCACAGAATAAAAAAAAAAAAAGAATGAAGGCAGGCGTTATCTGCAGCAATGAACCTCATTGGCTTTGTTGAGGAGGAGGAGGTGGAAGAAGACTAAGAAGCAGATAGATCAACATTTCCTATCAATGACACAGAATCATATTAGAAAGTGCAAAGTTCCACGTGGGTTCCGGGGTGTCATTGTGGGGGTAAAAAAAAAAAATAGCCCCAACCTCTAACAAGCACCCCATAAATAGCAACTAATTAGTAGGCCTTTCTTCAAAGTGAGAGGTGAGGAACCAACAGTCTGCTGCATATAAATAAGCCAGATCTGTAAAGTGGATGTGCATGCAAAACTCAAGTTCTGGAACAGATACAGATAATGAGAACTTTCCACCACAGTTAACAACCTGTGAATGTCAAAAATAAGAAGAAGACTGCTCGGGAGGAGGAGAAAGACCAAGAAAAAAAAAAGCAAATTATTTGTACAATTGAATAATAATGTTTCTTTTGGTTTTACAAGGAATCAAATGCAGGAATAAAATGTTTCGCACATGTAAAATATTTATAATGTGCAAAAAATATTTGCTGAGATAAGAACAAACAAAATATAGGGATATGATGAGTGACCGCACACATACTTTGTTTTATATATACAGGTGAGGACAAGTTAATATTTGTATATAATATAGAAAATGAAAACTAAAGAAGAAAACTCAGACTTGTGAACTGAAACGTTAAACTTTTAAAATATCACATGGAAAGGAGAAGGAAAACTGACAATTGAAGTAAATGAACATGAATATTGAAAAAACCTGGCTCATAAACAGCACCTTATCTCAGAAACTGAAATATTAGCAATCACATACATAAGAATAGCTAAGTTTAGTTGAGTCAAGAATTGACATCACAGCACTAGGGGCATTCCCATGCATGCTCCATCCTCATCTTCAGCAGCCAATACAGAGTTCCAATACTGATGGTACTGGTGACAATCTGGTTATAGGTCCGTCTTGCCTTTCCCCTGAGTGTAGTGAGTCTGCCAGACCCTCTGGTTACACCCAAGTGCCTCATTCTCTCCAGGCCATAATAATCTTGTTTTTCTACTGATTCCCTTGCTTGTTACCAGAGGGTCTTGATCACATCTGCCTTGTCATGTATCAATTCACCACCCAGTGGTGCAGATCTAGCAATCTGTCTGCCTATTCATTACCAACCACGCCGGCATGGCCTGGAGAAAAGATCCAAGGCATGCTCACCACCCTTTATCTGAATGGTACAATGAATGGCAAAGAGAGAATGGTAAGTAAGTTTGTCATCGTTCCAACCTCATAGAAAAAACAGGTCATTTCATAACTGCTCTGTTTCTGTGCCAGGGAAAACAACACAAACACTCATTTCTGTACCGGGTGAGAAAATAAATGAAATAGACTGCCGTCTCTGCAAAGGCAATAGTATACGTATGTACTAAATGCATAATGCAGCCATCAGAAATGCCAACACAAACAGTAATAGATGGTTTGGTTCCTGAAAGAAGAGGCACATAACACTGGAAACAGGATATACTAGATACTGTGACATGAAAGTGTATATAGCAGGTAAACTGGTAAAGGGTAAAGAATCTGTCCAGTGGGTCACCGTAGGAGCCATTCAACAGAAAAATTACTACAACATGCTAGTGTTACAAAAAGCACTTAATTAAGCTGCTGTGTTAAAAAGGTTATATATATTTTAAACATTTTTGAAGGGTGAAATATGAAGTAACAAAATTTTCACCATTATGTAAATACAATCTCAAAAAGGAATTCTTACCATGAATATAAGAGCAAGTGAAAAATCTTTGATCTGGTTTCAATTAAGTTTTGATTTGCTATAATGTTACTGAGTATATGACAATGATGATAAAAGATGCCTTAGAAAAAATGTAAGGAATCATGAAAGCTGAGGACAGCTAGGGTGTAGGAAGTTGCGAGGCATCACCAGGCCATCTTGTTTATCCCTGAAAGAAATATTAAAACCATTTAAGAATCTTAGTTACAAAAAAGAAAAACAAAAAAAATAAAATTTTAACTTTCAATCAACGGTTTTTCCATAGTTAATTTAAATAATGTGGAAAGAAACTATACACTGTACAGTTTTCTGCCTGACATTTTTCATCTGTCAGATACATAAGTGCAGTTTCATGAACATATAATTAAAAACAAACATATATCCTTTCAACTGAAATACACACATTTAGTTACAGATTACGTGATTTTTACTTCTTTACATACGTAGGACAAAGAAGTTCTACATTAGATCTGTAGTGAGACAGGGGTGTGTTTTTTCACTACTACTATTCATCACATTTGTCTTCCAAATTTGCTAATCAGCTAACACCAGTGAAGGGGACTGACTGCATTAGAAAATTACTTCATGTTTTTGCCAACGACCAGGCATTCATAGCCCCACCCCCCCCCCCTCCCCCATATATACCATTTAAAAACCTGCAAAGATATGTTCATCTGTGCATTACTGGAGTCCATAAGGGAAGCAATGAACAGTTATACTGTAATGTACCATTCTTGTCATCTTGTTGTTTGCTTCTGGCAGTGTTTCCTCATATTTGGACTTGGAGTCCATGCTCCTGAAATGAGTGTCTGTTGTGATAGTTAAAATGGATTCCCCCCTGCGCCTGTGGTAGTTCATGCTGTGAACTACAGATAAATAAAATAGCTGGCGGCTGGTTCTGGGTCTGAGCTGATTGTGTGCTTTATGAAATATTGCACATGCTAGTTTGTCATGATTAACTGCTTCCATCAACAAAGAACTGCAACTCTAGTGGCTGACTTTTGGTGTTGGCATCTATGGGGGCTGCCCTATGCATTTTCTCTCTGTGCCAGGTTATGAATTTTGCCGGGACTTATCTGTCTCACTAGTTTTCAAACAGCATAGTGAAAGGCAGTTTGTGTGATCTGGCACAGGAGCAAAGCAATTAAGGGACTCTGTATGACACGAAGCAGGAACCACGAGTAACGAACCAATAAACTAATGATGAAATCAATAACTTACACGTCTTTCTTTAGATAAGCAATCACATCAGAGATCTGATGGTTAGAGATTTCCCCATCCACCTCTGCCAGAAATTTATACATGTCCTGAAATAACTGGAAAGAGATACGAGCTGGCCCACCCTCAGCGTCGCTGGTCAGTATCTCACAGATGATCCTCAGTGCATCTGTCATATTCTGAAATTAAAAGGATCACAAAATTACTCCATTATAAAAATAAAAGCCATTGCACGTCCATCTTCCCCATACTGGTTTCGGGTAGAAGGGGAGGGCGGGGGGAACAGACCCACTACCCCATTAACAGGCATTTTAAAACCGATAACTAACTAAGAGTTTAATGAAATCGGATACATTGGACTGAAAAGTGTTGATATTGCGGCCAGGCTGTAAACCACAATATAATGTGACAACTGCCATATTAAGGGCAAAAACAAAAGAAAAAGAACTGTCATAAATTAGGAATCAGAACACTGTTGGTTAGCAAATCCTATCAAATGGCAAACTGTTTTTCAGCTCCTAAATGCATTGTACATCCAGTGTGTTCTGGAAAATCAAGACGAGAGCAAAGAATAGTAACTGTTTTAGTTGGTGTCTATGGCTTAAGTGTTTTGAATTTCCATGTGGAAGAAACAAAGGAACAAACCACTGCTTCTAAGCATGCTGCAAAGGGTGACTTCTTCTTCTTCTTGTGATCACTCTCTGATTTACACTGGACAGATGAGTTCTTGCGATAAGATCCGGCTATTTTCTGGAGTTTTCTTTCAGTTGCATACATCTTTAGTATGGTGTTTACTCACTGGGCCAGTATTCTTTTCTTAATAGACTGTAAAATGGATAGACTTAAAGGATATGTTCTATGGTCTGCACGCATTGCCCACATAGATGAAGGAAGGAACAAACTTTATTTTTAAGGGGTTAGGAACTGGGCACACAAGCCCGTCTCACATTCTGCTCTTCTGAATTCACTCCATGCATAGATTATTCATTCACATATCATTTTAGCAGATAATAATAATTGACATCATCCAAAAACATCTTAGTAATAATGTGCTCTAAATATGCCTATATTGTAAAACAATTATAATACTAAGTATAATACATTCTGGTAGAAATCAACAATATGCTTAGGATACTATTGTCTTTTATTAGGGCATGCAGTCTGAAGTGAGATAATATTAAAACAGCTTCCAACTGTATTTACAGGGGTTGTTGACATTTCTTATTGGTTGTTGAATCTGGTTGCACAGATGAGCTGCAGGGTAGGCCAAGCTTGTTTTGTAGAAGTTCAATGGTGAGCTACTTAGATGAAACTTGGGAAAGATGACAAATTACAGTTTTGCTGAGATGGATGTGTTCCACCCCAAGGCTCAAACATCACAGCCTATTTGTTTAAAAAAAAATAACAACAACTGCCAAATGCAGAAACAAAATGGACTGTGAATGCACAATCCTGACACACTAGATTTCAAAGAAAGCTTCAAGAATGTGGCTGTGTATCATTCAGAAAACTGTGTCAAACTACAGAATGTAAACTGCCCAGTGAATCCACAGAATTGTCAATAAATACTAGGGTGGGTCTGTGGTTTGCTCAAAATGACATGCAGCTATATTGGCAGGAAATATTCTAGGAAGGAGAAGTGGTCGAAGTGATACTGACAACACCACCCATCATGTGCTGCGTGACTTTATTGCCTGTCTTTACACTTTTATAGTCGTGCCGGATGGTGGTGGGGTCATGACAACCTAGAAAGGCTAGGATTCTTTTTGCCCCAGTAGGAAAAATAGTTATCTTTTACTAAGGATCAAGACTGTGTCTCTCGCATGAAAGCCCGGGGCTCGAACCACATAGCCAACCACTCCTCACTTGCCGACTTGTCAATGAAAATAGGGCACTAGCTTCATATGCTGAATACACCTCAGAGCAGGGAAACAGGCCCTTTTATTCAGTTACTTTTGTTTTGAAAAACAAAGAACAGACTCACTCTGCCCTAACAAGCTTGTCGTATGTGGCCACAAATGAGGGGAGTTTCCTTTAAAGTTGTAGTGCATCTGCCTAAGAGGTGAGGAACCAACAGCCAGCATACAAATAAGCCAGATCTGCAAACCTGATGTGTAACAGGCCAGATCTGCAAACCTGGTGTGTAATACAAAAAACTTAAGCTCTGAATCAAGACCAAGGTCTAAGAGTGGATGAACAACCAGAACTATTGGTATACACCAATTTACTTACCATAAAGGTGAACACAAAGGAAAGTTTAATTATTCCAAATATTTACTATAGGAATGAATCTCACTCACATCTCCAAGCACTGAAGCAGCCAATGCTAAGAATTTATTCCATTCAAACTTTAATCGGAAGTTGCCCACTCTCATGATGTCATCTAACTGTTCCTTTGGCAAGGCCAGATCAAGCCACTTGCTCTCCACCTGCTGGGCGGTAACAACGATCTTTGGTCCCAACTGTTGAATAAAATACAGAAAGCCATAAAAAAAAAAAAAAAAAGAACTAAGGAGAACAGCAATAGAGGGTAGGGTTCTAGAAGCAGAGGCAGGTCTACGAGAACAACAGTTGATGTAGGATATCAAGGACTATCTAGGCATGAGAGTTCATGAGGCTGAAACACTGACTAAGACTCCAGTGGCTTTTCAGGATGTCATGATGAGAGTAAAATTTTACAAAGAACCTGCTACATAATGATGATGGTTTTGGTGATGTGAGTTTAAAAAAAATTTAACAGCTTAAGGACACAGCAAATTACTAGGAATTTAATGGGAAATTTCTTTTATAGATAAACTAAATTTTAAGACTCTTTTTTCCATGCCTTGAGGCATATTTATGAAGATCTTGGATAAAAAATTGACTTATGAGGAGAACTGTCAGCCCACATCAGGAGACAATCTACATTCCTACTTCTGCTGAATGATGTCAAGTCTCTGCTACTTGCAGCACCAGAGCAATCTACAAAACATATTTTAAGAACATTAATGGCACAAAAAAGGCCCACAGTAAGTTAAAAAAATAAAAGAATAAGTATGGAGCTCTTATCACATCACTGGCACATTAGGCATACAGTGATATAAAGTAGTTAATGTGGCCAACTCTGCTTTGTTGACCATTACTTCCCAGGCCATCACCCAGTACCCTTTTTTAAGGGTGGGCTGACCCGAGAGCCAAAGTCAATTCAGGAAAGAAAAAAATCTGCCTCAACAGAGATTCGAAGAAGCATCATCATCAATTTCCACTTCTGCCATTAAGCATTGTGGGGAGAAACAGTTTGTGATCAATTGCTTGATCGGCAGCAGTGGCTACTGTCATTCCGTGCCAATGTAGAAGCTCTTTAACGACAACAATCCATCTTCACCTATGCTGGCCTTGTGTTTTTACTTGAGATCTTTTCTTATGTAACGCCAGCATGTGAAGTTGTTATGGCTGCAATTTTATTCTTATATGATGATTCATATTCCCCACTGACAAAATACTCAGACCCAAACTGACCAGTACCTGTTTGTTTAACACTCTCAGTAAGCCTGGAGTCAGGCCAGTGTCAGTCTTTTGTGTGGCGATTGGCATTTCTAATCTCTCCTTAACTGGTGGAATCTCTCCTCTGGCCAATGCACCAAAGTACCTAAGCACGATAAAAGGAAGAATCAGAGAAGGTTACAATATATTTATATTAGCAGTGATTCATTAGCAAAATTATTATTAATTTTTAAATGGCATATTTTTTTTATTAGTTTGTAAATAACACACAGTACTCGGGTATGTGAAAAGCAGACTCAAATGTATACTGTGTGCAGTAGACACGTCAGTGACAACTGGGCGGGTTCTTGTAATCATTACAATGCAGTGGTCAGTTGTGTTTGAGGCCATATTTGTGAGCATAACTTATGATGCACGCACGAGAAAGCAACACAGTTTGGGGTGAACACTATTCACTGCCTACCTACACAACTGAAACCCTACAAAAGGATAATGTTACACCAAAACATTCAGTTCTTTTTCAAGCAGTCCTAAATGGTGCCTCTATTGATAAATTTAAGGAATTTCACTAATGACTAATTGCAGGCAGGAAAAAGTCAAAATCGAGTTGCCAGGCATCTAAATGTGGATCAGAGTACCATCAGCCGACTGTGGCACCGGTTTTAAACCACTTGTTCAGCTGAAGAGCAACATTTCAGTGGAGAACTCAGAGTGATAACAGCAGCAGAGAATCACTTTTTTCAGCTTCGTCATCTCAGAGACAGGTTTACAACAAATTCCTCAACTGTGCAGGCATTGTCTCCATGATGTCATGTGTGTGATCAAACTGTCCGAGACAGACTGCATGAGGTTGGACTTTAAGCATGACAACCACACTGAATAATATGAGGACCTGTCCTTACGTGTCACCACTTTCAAAATGGACTTCTTTGGGCCAACCAACATCGTCCCAGGGCGGGTGACAATCAATGGAGACATGTCTTGTTCAGTGATTAATCTTTTTTTGTTGTTGCAGCGCCATGATAGATGCCATAGGATCTACAGTAGGCAAAATGAAGGTTTATCCAATTTGTGTTTATAAAGCTCTGCTGCATGGTAGTGGAAGTATAATGGTGTGGGAAATGATCAGTTACAATAAAAGGAGTCAACTGGTGCACATGGAAGGAAGCCTGAATGCTCAATGATACATCAGTGAAATTCTTCGACTACATATTCTTGCATTTGTCTACGCCAACAGATATCTTTTTTAGCAGGCCTATGCCAGACCCCATTCTGTAAAGGCTGACCTTGCAGTTCTTGGCTGCCAATCCATCCCGGTCTGCAGACATGAGTCCGATTCAGCACCTGTGGGATGAGCTGTATAGACATGTTTATGGCCGAGACATTGCTCCAGCCAATGGCCATGATCTCTTCCAGGCATTCCTGGAAGAGTGGGCAGCCATCCAACAGACCCCCATTAGACATCTGATCGCATCCATGCCCAGGAAATGCCAGTCACTGATCCATGCAAAAGGAGGCCACACACAATACTATCGGGAAAGGCCATAAGCTTCTAAACATTATCGAGGCCCAGATACAAACAAAAATGTTGTCAACTAAATGGTGGAACCCTACGGTATTCTTCCGTGAAATTTGAGTAATTTCACTTATTGCGCTACAAAGATGCAGAATATCAAAATTGTGAGCATGTATGTTCTTTTCAGTGTTTCTTTTTTTTTTTTTTTTTTGGATAATGTCTATACAAAGCGAGCAAATAATATGATTTACCATTTTAAGAGAGAATGCCTTGCAACTTCATAACATACAAGGCATAGCATAAAGAGGTATGTCCTTACCGAAAACTGAATAGGTTAAATATGTTTTGATTCAGTCATTTTATAATTAAAAGTCCCTATGTGGGTTCCTGTGTCTCATTCAAGGGATAACAAACTGCCTCCTCAACAAGCATGTCATAAGAGTCTACTAATTGGGAGCTTTGGAGTGCATCTGCTTGAGAGATAAGGAACCAACAATCTGCAAACAAATAAGTCTGATATGTAAAATGGATGTGCAGGCAACACTTAGGTTTTGGAACAAGACTGAAGTCCAGGTGGATGAACAACCATAAATTTCTGCTGGAGTTACAGCCGGATAATGCAAAAAAGAAGAAAAAAAATGGCAACAAGATCATCATGCAAGCCAAATAGAGTTGGAGAATGTTTAACAATCAAAAATCTCCAGTCACCAACATGCAAACAGAAGGAAGTCAAAGTGCAAAAACAACTTACGCTGCTGACCAAGCAAGAACATCCTTTGGTTGTGTTCTAATGGCAGCTTTGGTAAACTGTTTCAAGATGTCTGGCAGTTCTGGGGGGATGTGTATCTGTTCTGAACAGTAATATGGTTCATCCAACTTGGCTGCAGATGTTGGCATTCTTGAGTATCTACAGCAAACAGCCACAATCAACCCAGATTAAATGTTGTGGCGAATAAGGCAGAACCATATACTTTAGCAATATCATTCATAAATGACCTAAACAATTAAATAATCCCTAGACATAGCCTTGGATTAAATCCTTATCTAGTCACATAAAAAAAAAAAAAAAATGACTACATCACTTATCGAGTACAGACTCGTCCAAATAAAAATAAGTCTGTCACAGTGTTTCTCAACCTATTTATCCCTGCAGTGCACCACAAACAGGGGGATTATTATATACAATAAACAAATAAACAATGTTTTGAACAGCACTCACACAACCATTTGAGGGGTTGGGGCCTTGAATGAAGACATGAATGAACAAATGTAAAAGAAAATATGAGAATGAAACTGAAAAGACAGAAGTAATGTCAACAGGAAGAAAGCAGCAGAATCTAAATATAGCAGTAGAGTGCAAATGTATTGACCAGGCATCTGAGTTTAAATATCTGGGAACAATAATCACTAAGGATGGTAAATTAGATGACAAAATTAACATCTGATGCATTAAAGCAGCAGTTCTCAACCTGTGGGTCACGACCCCTTTTTTTGGTCAAATGACTCTTTCACGGGAGTCACCAAAGACCATCGGAAAGCACATATTCATTGAGGTTAGGAAGTAGTAACGAAAATAATTGTATTTTTGGGGGTCACCACAACATCAGGAAGTAAGAAAGGGGTTGAGGCATTAGGAAGGTTGAGAACCACTGCATTAAAGCAAACCGCTAAGTATTGAGACAGCTAACCCCCTTTTACAATCCCAATCATCACAAAGAAACATCTCATACAAAGAATATTCATCCCAACCCTATGCTGCCAGTGCCAGACGTAATCAGAACAAACCTAAAAAGAAAATTAGTAACCATGGAAATGAGAAGTCTGAGAAGGGTTGCAGGTGTGACCAGAAGAGATACAATCAGGAGGTCATAAGAAAAACATGCCAGCGCAGAACCAATTGTAAATTACATACAAAGATAGCAAATCGAGTGGTTGTGCCCAGCGAGAGAGAATGCTTTATGAGACCATACTATACACAGCATACACCAAAAGAGCACCTGATAGAGGAAGGAAGTATCAGGTCTCAGTGGCAAAGCGGTCAAGCCAATTGCCTCATGCTCTGAAGGTCCTGGGTTCGCTTAACAGCTGTCCCTTTCAGTTCACAGGTGCAATTTTTATAGGGATCATAACCAGAGCTATGAAGCTCATGCTTTGTGCAATGCTCTTGGCAGTGGCTAGCCGTTTTCTGGAGCAAGACAGAGACATATGGGATAAAACCCGGTGCAATGAAATCAATCCTCTTGTTTCTAACCTTTAACCATTGTGAGGTGACACTGGTCTATCTACCTCTTAATCTTTATACACTGCAACCTGCTCTTTAGCAGTAATAGCCATACAGGTGCAGTTTACCAGCTTCCATTTTCATTAGACATCCAACCATCTTGCATTGTGTGTCCACATATAATCAATGCATTGTGGTACAATCACAATTCTGTGAAGAAAATACTGTTCTTAACAAGTCTTGTTGGATGTAGCAGAAGTAAGTTTACAACTAGTTAGGTGTAATTACACCCAACTTAACACTGAAGAAATTCCACAAAAATCTGCACTCTTTCTGAAGTCAGTGAAAGAATTATAAAAATTACTTAGTAATGGAACTCAACATAAACACTGTTTCCAACTGACAGTCTCTTTACATTTTAACGTTTATGTTTTTTTTTTCTACTGACATCAAACAACTCATAAAAAAATTATTAGTACTCCACAATAAAGACTCAGATAAGATATATTTTGTCACTTGAAAAGAAATACTGTTTGGGCAACTAAAACAATCATTCTCATCCTACTAAATAATATATGCTACTAATAATAGTATTTTTAATAATATTTTAGGGCAGAGGAGCGCATTGGGGAGGATACTAGCCTTATCCTAGAAAGAGGAAATGCAACCTGAAAACTTTATGTTATGGCAGGGCAGACCAGGCCCTTAGACTTGGCTGGACTAGAAGGAAAGCTCCGACAGGCAGACAGATTCAGCATTGCTCTCCTGATCCGACAGCTTTTGATGCCTGTTTCAAATGTAATGGTGTTACCTTTCCTTTGGAGTAAACAAGGCAGGTCAAGGGAGGGATCATGATGCATGGACAACATATGGTCTCTATAGTACTGCCCAGGCTTTGAGAACACTGAGGTACTGGAAAGAGCAGGTACTACAACATTCTTCTAAATGCTCAGTCTTCGAAGGCTCAAGTGGCTGGGTTACACCTGGAGAATGGAGGATGGCCAAGTCCCTAAGGACATCTTTTATAGTGAATTAAAGACGGGTAAAAGTTGTCAAGGCTGACTTCTGCTATGGTATAATGATGTGTACACGCATGACATGAATGATACAGGTATAGAGGTGAACTCATGGGAACAAAATGCCATGGACCGTGTTGTGTGGAGAGGAAGGGAATGAGAGTGAAGGAAGAAATGATTGCAGAAAAAATGAGAGCTGAGCATCTGAAAAGAAACTGATTTATCACAAATGTTGACAACAATGGTCCTGAAATCCCATGCTATCATTGTGGAAGATTTCTTGACATTGGCGGGTCTTGCTAGTCATACAACTCGCCATCGCCATGGGCTGAGACTGAGTCACATGCCTCCTCATAGCGCAATAAAACACAATCGTCTAGAAAGACGGAAAGGTGCCAATTAATAGTTCATCTTGTATTCTAGTCAAGCCATGATTCACATCCAACATGAAAAAAGTTGCCTTTAGTTTGGGGAAAAGGGGTGGGGGGAGGGGGGGGGGGATTTTCCGAAAAAAAAGTTCAAGTACAACAATTTTTATTTTACTGTGAGTTTACTCAATATTTTCTGGGATTGAACTGGTGATTCATCACGCATGTTTGCTAGTATTTCCAACAATTATGTAAAGTCTGCCCAAAAAAATATATATTTTAAGGTAAAAATCATGTATATTTATATTAAAATATTACGTTATATCATTACTTTATTTTTCAACAGCCCGACTTGGTGTTAAATGTCCCTGCACGTTTGTTGGTGGCAACGAACAGACAGCAATCGATCTAAAAGTTGGGACTTCCGTTTGTCCATATACAGCACAATTTATAAATAGACTCATTAGTGAAGTATCCGGCGCAAACGCCTTTAATTAAATTAGTATGTTTTTGAGTGTGCTGGAAATAAAATGTATACATTTTTAATAGAATCTGTAAAATTAGCACCTGAATCTCTGAAAGTTTATATCTAACAAAGTCAATTTCATAATATAGTATTTACTATTTAGTATATTCTAAAAAATAGAAGAGTGCCACAGTGGTTTCTTCTGCCAGATTGGCTTTACATAAGAAAAATAACAGCACAAGCTAAGGCTATTAAGCCTAAGGAAGTTCGGATAGAGGAAATGATGTGCACATGTAAAATTAAACATTTCGACCAAAGCGTCTATCAACGAATGCTACTATTAGGGGCCTACAATGCAAAAGAAATGGAGAGAAAAAAAAACTTATTTAAAAAAATAAAAAACGGACAAGGATAATCAAAAATTATAATTGTTACTGTCAAGCTGAAAAGACAAGTGGCAAGTTGACGGACGTACAGACTACTGATTGAACGATCATAGTCAAAATTATGTGTAATTAGAACTCGGCGCTGGCTGGGGAAGTTATGGACAGGGCTATTATAGAAATGTTCCAAGTGCTGTTTTTATTGTTCCTCAACTCAATTTACTCAAGCAGATTTGATTTGATTCAAGAACCGACATCACAGCACTCAGGACATTCCCATTAGCGCTCCGTCCCTATCTTCAGCAGCCAGCGAAGAGTTCCGATACTAATGGTGCCAGTAGCATTTTGATTAAACGTCCGTCTTGCATTTCCTCTGAACTTCGAGCATCTGCCAGAACCTCTAGTCACCCCCCCCCCCTGCAATAGTCTCACCAGAATGGGGTGATCCATCTGCTCCTCCGAACTGTACACGCTTTTCCACAAGGCACTAACCACGTCTGCCTCATCATGTATCAGTATTCCACCAAGTTGTGCAGAGCCAGCAGTCTGTTAATTTCCCAACACATAGGCGTGCCCCGGTGAAAAAATCCAGACAATACCCCTCATCCGTGTCCTCCGCAGCGAAGCATGCCACTCTGCACGAAGCACACTTGTTCTGATCTTCCTCAGCATGCTTTCTGAGTCAGTCACAATCACGATGTGTGTGTATGTCATGTTCTCCAGCCAGCGGAAAGCTGCAGTGACCGCCTCCACCTCCATTCTTAAGCTAGATGTTGTGGTATTACATGCTAGGCTCTCCTGCATCAAACGTCGACCATCAACTTTTGCTAAGAAGCCCCAAGCACTTCTTTTGCCTCTTGACGCTGAACCGTCTGTGTAAATGATCAAATCATCTTGGCTATCATTATTTTGAATTAATTGCTGAATTTCCACCTCCGTTTGAACTCGAGCAGATTGAGATTAGTGACTCTGATGCATTAAAATATATTTTGTTAAATACAAGTTTTACTTTGTATAAACTAAATTAAATATGCTTTTACGGGTAGATGTTAACAATATTTTGCTAATTTATTAGGGTTTTCTCAAAATTATGAATGTATACGCTGGCATGTTTGAAACTTTTTTTTTTTTTTTTTGCATTGGCCTTTACAACATTTGATTAGGCTCTTGTGTAAAATCTGGTGGTTTGGACTTGTCGTCTGCTAGAGTAGCAGATGTGCGGGAGCCTCCTTGAAAGAAAATACTTTGAAAAATTAATTTTGTGACTTAGTTCATACTGTAAATTTTATTTGTTTTACTTAAGTTTAGAAGCTGCAGTTTCATTGTTTATAAATGGCTACTGCACAAATGCAAAAGACGCCAAGCAAAACAGTAAGTCATTGAGCACTATATTTTGCCGTCTAAACAAAACAGAGTAATAGTAATAGTAATAGTATTACTAATACTACGAAATCATGAAATCAGACGAATGCTAGAAATAAAGCCAGTCTTACGGGTCACCAAAGAACAACAAATGAAGTGGTTTGGACACCTAACAAGAAAGCCCTGGTACTATCCACCACAGCGAGCCACACTAAAACGTTACAACGGGTATAGAGTTAGAGCGAGTGGAAGACCTCGGAAAATTCGGAGTGATGGCATTAAGAACAACCGGCTCTCCTTGCAGCTTTGGACGCAAGCTGGACGGCTTAGGTCGGCTTAGTGGGAGTTCTCTCCCTTGGCCGCACTGACAACAACGAGCGGAAAAAGTCACGAATCAAATGACATGCTTACCTATCATCATCCGGGTGCGTGTAAGGTTGCGTACAGTTGCGTGTAGGGTTGCGTAGTAATCATATAGCGACTACAGTTTCGACAATTTGCGGTCTTTTTGGCAATTTGCGTTAGACTAAAGTACCTACATCATACGGTTGCATCTAGGGCTACCTAGGGTTGCGTGTAGGGCTGCGTAGGGTGTCTATCACCATCATACGGTTGCGTGTAGGGTTGCGTAGGGTGTGGGTTGGGGTTAAGGGATAGGGTATGGGTTAGGGTTACGGGTAGGCTTAGGGTTACGGTTAGGGTTAGGGGTAGGGTTAGATGTGAAAATGGTGACGTAGAACGTCCAAATACTGGGCGACAATCTGATGCTTGTGGTAGTGGCGCCACTGGAATTGTGCCAAATATGATGGCAATAGCGCGCGGCTGGTGCCCAATCGGTGGCGAATTGTCCGTGTCAGTAGCATCCACCGTCCGTCGACTGTTTAGGTGTGTATGTGACTGTGCGCGATTATAGGGAACTACGGCATCAAAATTGTCACATTTAACGCTAAACCTAACCCTACCCCTAACCTACCCCTAACCGTAACCTTAACCCTAACCCTACCCCTAACGCTAACCCTAACCGTAACCCTAACGCTACCCCTAATCCTAACCCTAACCCTACCCCTAACCCTAACCCTAATCCTACAGCTTACCCTACCCCTAACCACGCAAATTTATCGGTCATTAAAGCATATAGATCGGCAAAACACCAACACAAAAAAAACCAGAATTCCCCACAGTGTCAAAAGAAAAACCCAGATCTGGGGGGACACAACCAAGCATTGGCAGCCCTGATGTCGACCTCACTGTCTTGTTTGATTCGTGACTTTTTCTGCTCGTTGTTGTCAATGCGGCCAAGGGAGAGAACTCCCACTAAGCCGACCTAAGCCGTCCAGCTTGCGTCCAAAGGTGCAAGGAGAACCGAACAACCTTACTGAAATGAACATAAGTCTTAATAGTGCTCTTGACAGAGCTCATCAACAAACATTACATCTCCCCCTGGCACTTCGATGAGGTAAAAGGTGGAAGAGAAGAAGAAGAAGAAGAAGAAGAAGAAACATTAAATTAAAAAATGAACATTAAATAAATATATTTTACATTTAAATAATAATAATAATAATATATACTTATAACTTATAAGGGAATCCTACAAACTCACTAACGTGACTTTTGACTTTTGAAATCGAATTACTGTTTTTCATTATTTACAAACGATTAGATTAGTAATATAAGTTATATTATAACAGCACAAGACAGACAGCATCAAATGACAAATAACATTTTGAAATGTCGAATGACCATCAGCCGCAGATCACATTATCTTGCTCTGTTTGTCTTATGAAAGGATCCTATCGATACAGCTGACACTGTTGAATGAAATTGTACCATATAAAGGTATGCCAGTTTAAAATAAATATATGAAATTCTTATGCTGGCAGAGCTGCATCAAAGAGAACATTATACGAGAGAGAGGTGTGGGTCAGAGTGCCAGCGGAAAAGTTGGACATTAGGGAGTGACCAGCACGTGCCTCGGTAGTGGAAATTCAGCAATCGATTGAGGATAATGCTCGCTCAGGTGGTGAGATTTTTAAAAATACAAATAGTTCAGTGTCAAGAGGCAAAAGCTAATGGTCAACTTTTGGTGCAGAAAATCCTAGCATATAAAACCAGATGTAGCTAAAGAATGGAAGTGGTCACTGCAGCTTTCCACTGGCTAGAGAACACGATAGACGCACACCACAAGTTTCAAGTTACTCAGAAAGCATGCTGAAGAAGGTGAGGACAGGCAAGCTTTGTGCAGAGTCAGGGGTTAAGATAATTTGGTCTAGATATTTCCTCCAGGTATGCTGGCATGTTTGGCAATGAACATTCAGATAGACTGACTGGCAGCACACAACTTGGTGGAATATTGATGTGCATGACAAGGCAGATATGGTAAAGGACTTATGGGAGCATGTGTACAATTCGGAGGAGCAAGGGATTCATCACAGCCCACTAAGAGTGATGTAACTAAGAGTGACGAGGGAATCTGGCAGATACTCCATGCTCAGAGAAAAAGCATGATGGACATGTAGTTAGACTGCTACTGGTACCATTGGTATTGGAACTGTGCTGGCTGCTAGAGATGGGGCTTATGAGAAATGCTTATGGGAATGGCTTTTACTCAGCTGAACTCTTAAAATCTTAAACAAATTAGTTTTAAAACATTTTTTGGACAGATAAAAACCACACACCCCCCCCCCCCCCCCCCCCCCCCCCCCCCCCCACACACCCCACCCCCCCCAACACCCCCCCCCCCCCCCCCCCCCACCCCCCCACAGATCAATGTAAAATTACAGAACACAACAAACTTTCACAAAAGCCACCATTGAACAGCCCACATATGCAACAAATGCGAGAAGTAATCTGATTAACTGAACAATATAACTAGAATGTCTTTGCATTGGAACCCACAGGGGCATAGGAATAAAGTAAGAAGGCCAAAAAACACATGGAGAAGGGAGCTGGATAGTTAAGTTAGAAAGATGAGGAGGACATGGGGAGAGCTGCATGCGATAGCAAAGGATTGAAGGACTTGGAGTGGGCTGGTTGAGGGCCTATGCTCCAATGGGCACTAGAAAGGCAGAAGAAGAAGAATCTGAATAACTGGTATGAAGACCAGCCAGCCAATCTCAAGGCTTATATTACTGGGCTGACAGATCGGTCCAGCTGTCTTTTTGACTTTTTTGCTTTGGGGCCAATAAATGGGCTCATTGTGCCCAAATGGTTAACACAGGGATGGAGCACTTATGGGAAAGTCTACATGTTGATTCCTAACTCAACTACTTAACTGATATTGTATCATGTGTGTTACGGCATCCACATGTTATTTCTTCTACAGTGGGAAGCCATATTTCCAAATGAGCAAGTAACAGAACAGAAATCAGCGCTGTTTGTAAAAAAATTACTAGCCGTAGCAATATCAAATATTACCTACCTGAGAGCTATTTTCCCTGAGCATGCATTTGGTGACAAATGTCTTGAAGGTATTTGATGTTTACATAAACTAGTATAAACTTGTTAATATGTAGCATCATGCACACACACATTCATTGTTCATTATAGAATTATTATTGGTGCACAGCGGGCACACTTATAAGTGCTTTGATCTTCTCCTAAGCATAAACATGTTTCCTAGTGTATTTATACTGATGACTCATTCCATATCGGTTGGTGAAGCGATTGAGTGCTTTTGAGTGGTTATTGTTTTGCTGCTACAGTTGGTATACCTAGACTTATTACCTGATTCAGGGAGAAATAGGATTCCTCATGTTTGAAATCTTCAGCCTGTGTTGTTTCTTATAAAGCATTTAAGAGGTTCTTTCTGTCCATTCAAGGTCCACATTCTAGGGTAACACTGCTAATGAGGGCATCTATCCTCTCTTTGCTTTTCATGCTGGCATGTCTTGGGACAGAAATGAAGCAGATTTGCAAAACAATATATCTGTGATGCATGTACATACACTTAAAACTCTTTCATAATTTTCAAATCTTGATAGTTCTATTGTTGAAATGATTAAGGTTTGTAAAGGGTCTCTTTCACTGCCTCTGCATACATATAAACTTCTCCAGTTTCCTCATATAATCCATACAATGTATGCCTACCAGAATCTATAAATACTGTAAATAGTCTTGTGGTTGGCAAATGAAAATAACAGAATACACTGGCATATCGAGCATATGATACCCGATATTATCATAGACCAGTCGGTACTTGGTAGGTATTGTAGTGATTAGTGACCAAGCAGTAACATGGCTGAAAACACAGACCTTTACCTGTGTATGTTTTCTCAGTGACTTAGTGAGTATGCTCAGGAAGATAGAGATGGGCTGGGTCCAGAGAGGGTGGTTAGAGTCTCTGAGGCTGTCGGAGCTGATACATACCAGTTTAATTTTCATGCCAGGTCACACAGGCATGCAAGGAAATGAGCAAACTGATAGGCTGATAATATAATACTGAATGGCTCTACAAGAAGTAAGATGTTTGTGAGAACTAAGAGATGACTGTGAATCTGCAGCCATGACCAGACTGCTTATATGGTGTGTGGCCATATAAGATCACTATGCAGGAAGCCAAAGAAGAATAAGAAACCAGTACAGGACTGGTGTTGTCAGCTGCTACACGCTGCATGATTTCCTGAGGAGGGATCCCAGCACTTATGGAATGAATGGTTGGACATGCAGTGAGGATAATCTGTTCACTAATGTAGTCATCATCTCACTGGCCTTATTTACTTCCTAGGACTTTACCGGATACCCACCATTTTAGGCTAAGTCGACCTGTTAGCCAAGGTCATTTTTGTAAAAATAAAATCTGACTCAGTGTGGGTTTGAACTCAAGACCTTCGGGCTGGAAAGTGAGCATCTAGCCTATAGGTCACTATGGTTCCCAGTCTGTTGTTAGTAGGTTTCATGATGTTTGAATTTCATATATGAAGTGTAACCCCTTTTGATTATCAGTTTCAGAATGTGTTTGTTTTTAAATATGAAATCGGTTACTAGGGAAAACTGAATTCATTATGTTATGAACAAGTTAAATGTTTTGAAGATGCTCTCTTTTCCAGTATTTACGATTTAAAATAATTTGCAAATTTGATCTTTTTCTTTTTTTAACTTTAGAATTATTACGTCTTTTACAGATTTGAATTTAAAAATATTGCGAGATGAAAGCTCCTGCCCTGGTGCCTGCCAAGTCATTAAATGGGTTAAAGGATGCTTTGATGCTCTAGACAAAAAATATGTAAGAGTAAAGTCACTGAAAACATAAAGAAGATAATTCTAGACTGTCATTTGAACTTTTGAATTGTTAATCTTTTGGTTTGTTATCTTTAATTCAAATAGTCAGCATATTTCTCTACTTGTCTTTACTTGCTTTTGCTTTCAATCCTAGTTAATTCTTAATTCTATTTCTTCTTCTTCTTCTTTAAGTTCACTATTTGTAAACTCTGGTTAAAATGTTATGGCCGTTCATCCATTTCTATATTTCTTAGTTTTGTTCCAAAACTTGAGTCTTGTATGCACATCCATCTTACAGATCTGGGTGATTTGTATGCAGACTGTTGGTTTGGCACCTCTCAGGAAGATGCTGTCCAACTTCAGAGGACATCCCTAATTAGTTGACTCCTTTGACATGCCTGTTAGGGAGGTAGTGGTTCTACTCTTGTTTCCCCACAGTGGTGCCCCAGAACCCACATGGTGAGGTACCGAATTCAACAGTGTCTGTCCTAAAGTTTGGGTACCTTGGAGGAACAGTTTTTTTTTTTTAAATTTTTCTATTAGTTTTATCAAATTTATAAAATACAGCTTTCAGACAGGATGAGTAATAATCACAATTGAAGTGAAATGGCTAACATAGCAAAAGAACTGGACAAAAGAGTAAAGAAATGGGTACGGTACAAATAGTAATGAATGAACATTTTGTGAGAGTTTCTGGGTAAAAAAGATTTAGACATAAATATATGTTTCATGATAGGCAACACAGGAATAACTGTTGTTTGAACGATTAGTGCGTGTCTGTAGTAGTGTAATGACCTCAGTATTGATATAGCTTAATAATTATGTTTATTTTTTAAATTTTTTATTCTTCTGTTAGGATAAGCTCTTGATCTTAGCTAAAGCTGCATAAATATAGTGAAGTTTGTACTCACCTGCTAAAACAGCAATGACCAGACAGAATTGTTTCCAACAAGCACAAATGTAGAGTACCATAATTCTTATGTAGTAAGGTGGCTACCATAATACTGACTATATTACCCTATGTATGAGGTTTAGTCATGGCACATATGAGCCTAACAGTCATATAGCAGATCCTATGCAGATCATTGTGATCATCATGGTCCACGGGAAAAACAATCCATCTCGGGCCAGATCTGTTACTTCATGTATTTGCTTACCCCAAGTGACTCTAATATCCTGTGTGACTGTAATCATTCATGCTGGTGCCTTTTCTTCCAGAAACTACCTTCCATTAATTAATTTTTTGTCTAAACTGTTGTGATGTTGAATATGGCCAAATTATTTCCAAGATTTAGTACTGTTTACTAGCCAGTATTTTGTCCATCTTCAGATCTTTCTTGATCCATGGTATCCTAAAATTCTTTTCTTTAACATTTACATTCATATAGCAGTTGAAATTTCTTTTGAGTAATAACTTATTTGTATTTCATTTTCTGCAGTTGCGGACTCTTGTGATTGGGGTAAGTTGATAATAATCTTAGTTTACAACAAGTACTCAGGATATGAGGTCAGTTGCAGGTACTGTTAATGTCAGGAAGTTAATGTCAGTGCATGTTTACCTTAATATCTTGTTTATGTCATGAATTTTAGACACTGCTATTCAAATAGTAGTTCATTCATTTATTCAGTAGCATGTCCCTCACAGAACCTCGCTGCCATAACAACCCTCCGGAAAACCTTCCTATCCTGAGCAAGATGTCCTGCGTCTGATACACCCATCTGGAGATCATCTGCCACATCCTGCACCCATCTTCTCCTTGGCCTTCCTCTTCCTCTCTTCCCAGGCATATACCCCTCCATTATTGTTCTCTCTAGACTTCCATGACGTTTCAAGTGACCAAAATATTTCAATTTTCTTTGTTTTATTGTCTTTACTAGCCAACCCTCTTCAATATTCAGCTCTTGAAGTATGGATGCATTTGTTCTTTTCTTTACCCAAGATATTCTTAGAACCTGTCTGTAACATTTATATTCAAATGCATTTATGCGCTGTTCCGCTTGTTTAGTAAGTGTCCAGGTCTCACAGGCGTATTGTTGCAATGGGAAAAGATGCATGCTCTTAAAAATCTGACCTTTGTAATTCTATCTGTACAATTCCATAATTTATTCAGTTGTTTTAGTCTTTGAAGAGCAATTGATAGTCGCCGTTTAATTTCTTTCATTGTGTCACCATTGTTGGTAACCAGTGACCCAAGATATTCGAAATTTTCCACCACTTCAAATCCTTCCTCATTAACATATATTTCCTTCTCCATGGCAGTTTTGTTTGTATGCATTATCTTTGTTTTTGCTATGTTAAGAAATAAGTTATGATTTTCACTATTTCTTTGGAGTGAGGCTAATAAGTTTTCTAAACTTATAAGTAGTTCAGTTATCATTATTATGCTGTTTGCCAAATGGCATACATGCTCATGTCTCTGCACAAATAGCAGTCTGCTGTTTCTAGATTAGTTCTTCTTCTTTTTCTTCTTTGTTTTATTTGTTCTTCTTCTTTGTCTGTAAAGTCCTATGGACAGTTCTGATTGTTTGTCCACTTCTAGTCTTTGGTGTTTTCCCAGACCTTGAATTTTGTGTGCGCATCCGTTTTATAAATGTGGCTTCTTTGCAGACTGTTGGTTCCTCACCTGTCAGACAGATATACTCCCACCTTAAAGTAAGCACTCTTAATTAGTTGCTGTTGACAACATGCTGGTTAGGGAGCCAGGAGATCTATCCTTGCCCCCCCCCCCCCCTTTGCGTGCCAGAAAAGGGGTCTTTGAACTCATACAGAGAAAATCGGTTCTATGAATGATGTTCGTCTGTGGCACTCTCCTAGATTATTATTATCTCCCTTGGTCTGCCTTTTTCCCTTTCAGCAAACTATTTTTTCATTCATCACAGTCTTTTCCAGTGCTAACTGCCTCATCATATGGTCAGAGAATATTATTTGTCTCTTTCTTTTGTTACTCTTGTTCTGGCAAAAGTGGCTACTTAATTCTGGCTGTCTGAGGCATCTAGGCATCTGCCCTTGTTTGACATTTCTCTCTAACCTTCAAGTTTTCCTAATTTGCTGATTCACATTCAAAGATTATCTTCCAAGCAACAGAACAGGCTCAGTATAACATTTCAGTGCTCACCTTAAATGCATTGTTTCATCATTCGTTACGTCCTTTTTACGACGTAATTTTTTGTTATTTGAAGCCCCACTCTGGCTTTTGCCAGAGGCCGCAATATAGGCAGGCCATAAAAATGGCCAAATGTCTGAACGCGGTTTCTGGGACCTCTCCACGGTGATCCTCATCCACATGGTGGCATTTTGTGTCATCGGGTGTTTATCGCTTGTGTGATGTCCTGGTGGGGTAGAAAGTCACTCACTCATGCATTGTTTCTGTCTTACTTTGAAACAGTAACTTGTATATAATAATTAAGTAAACAATGCTATGTAATTATGGTACTCTCAGATACGCACACACACACTCTTTCTCACTCTTTTTCTTCACACACTCTTCCTCTTTCTTCACACATACACACACACAAACTTATGCACAAACGTACATGTACATACAGACCGATAAGGTATTTAAAAATTTTAATTAACAAAAATTAAAACTTTGTAAAACCTGTTTACAATATGTGTTTTTATTTTCTTAAAAAGCTGCTGCTTTGTAAATATAATGTGTACTTGTCTGTATGTTGCACCCCCCCCCCCCCCCCCCCCCCCCCCCACCCCCCCCCCCCCCGCCCCCTCTCCCCCCCCCCCCCACCCCCCCCCCCCCCCCACCCCCCCCCCCCCCCCCCCCCCCCCCACCCCCCCCCCCCCCCCCCCCCCCCCCCCCCCCCATTTTTAATCAGTTTCATGTATTTTTTTTTCTTTTCTTTTTTTTCTTTAAATACATGAACAACATGGGTTTTTAAAGTTTATAATTAGAAATAATACTTTTTATTCTAGATATATGTTGATCCAGATAATCCGGCGGTATGTATACATTTCTAAGTTTTATTTTTAATGTCAGTAATACAAACAACCTTTTTTTTTTGTAGCATATTGAATATTTGGTTCTGGACTTTTATTGATTAATCAGAACTGATTGAGTGATGTGTTTTTATAAGTTTACATGCTGCTGCCATTACCTCCTTTATCATTTTATGCTATGTCAACCAGGGATTACAGATTAAAAAAAAATACTTTGATAAGACATTTAACCACATGACTATAGGACAAGCAGACAATCATGCCATCAACTACACAATAGTGTCTCATATACATATATATATATATATATATATATATATATATATATATATATATATATATATATATATATATATATATGTGTGTGTGTGTGTGTGTGTGTGTGTGTGTGTGTGTGTGTGTGTGTGTAGTGTATATATTAGGGCTGTACCGAATAGTGATTTTCACTATTCGGCCGAATACGAATAGCCGGACCGACTTTTCATACAAATTCAAATACGAATTGTGTATTATCATCATTATTAGGTGCCTTGCCAACTGGCGTGGGCCACAATGTGCGATCTCCTGCAGCGTGTATTAGTTTGTGTGCTGACACACCTCCATGCCATGCAACAAGACTGTCAAGAATCTTCTCTTGTTGTCTTCCTCTATCCCTCCTTCCACAGGTCTTTCATTTTCCCTCTTCTCATAACATGGCTGAAAAATGATGACTGTCTCCTTCTGATGTCTGTGATTAATTGTCCTCGAGCTCCCGCCTCTTTCAAGTTCTTTTGGTTGGTTTTTTTTGTGTGGCTGTCCAGGGTATTTTAAACATTGTTCTGTAAAACCAAATCTCTGAGGCTTCAAGAAATTGTTTGGCCTACCTACCGATTGTCCAGGACTCACAACCCATTGCCTATACATATAGGTGCTTACTTGACGAGGCTAACAGTGACTATTGTACAGACCACATTTTCCACTTTAAAATTTCAGCCAAAATGTAATCACAACCTTACTTATCTGCTGCACCTTCACGAATACAGATGGAGGATCAGTCGAACCTTGAGATAAATACAAAGACAATTTTTAGCGGTTGGCATTTTATGCAGTTTGATACACTTTGAGTGTGAAACAAGGAAAAAACTGTTATCGACAGTGGCGAGGAAAGACGATTTAAATTTTAACTTTTAAGCTTCTTCATGCCTTCTTTAATAATGTCACAATTTATAGCCGACTTTTGTTGATTTTTGCCACAGCACCCCTGGCATACGCACCCAGTTTGAGAACCTCTGCTGTAATGCCTCTGTCGAGTAAGCAGGCAAAGACCTTACCAGCTGCTGTCTTCCCCGCTACGACAGACTTAGGCAACAGCAACTATTGTGTTAATGAAAGAGTTTTTTTCAGTCCATCGCAGTGTATTCAAAACTGGTGTAAGGTAACCACTATTCGTATTCGGCCCGACCGCAAGTATTCGGCCGAATACCGAATAGTTATAAAGTCCACTATTCGTCCCAAAGCGAATACGAAGCGAATATTCGGTACAGCCCTAGAATATATATGTATATATATGTATATATATGTATATATATATATATATATATATATATATATATATATATATATATATATATATATATATATATAAACATATATATGTGTGTGTGTATATATGTATATATTTATATTTAAATATATAAATAAATAAACACACATTAATATATACACACATATATATATATATATAAAAAACCAAGTGCCTTGCCAGCTTACATGTAAGATCATGCCTCTCCACTTTCTGCAATCTGCAACTGCATGAATTGAGTGTTGACACTCCCTGCCATGACAAAAGGCTGTCAAGAATCTTCTTGCACTGTCTACCTCTGTCTCTCTTTCCACACACACACACGTGCGCACACACACACACTTGCATGTGTGTGTGTGTGTGTGTGTATATATATATAAATATATATATATATATATATGTGTATATGGAGCCACCATGGTGTAATTGAAGGCTCAGCTGCATATCTGAAGGTTATGGGTTCAAATCTGAACAGAGTTATACTTTTTTTTTTAAATTGACCTTGCCTCCAAGGTTGACCCAGCGTTAAGTGGAGACTAGGCAAGGTCCTGGGAAATAAAGCTGGCCGGTGTGATGTTGACCACATCGCCAACAGAGTGTCGATTGGTCTGTAAAATTTAGGCCTAGCACTATATGCTCAATTCGCCTGAAGACATGGAAAAAGTGTCCTTTCTTTACTTTATATACTCCTGATTATGGTTATTTCACATCATCTTTCTAGCACAAGAGGAGTTTCAATAAAAAATACATTGAAAAATGATTTACTCGGCTCTTTCACCTTGAGAAGCCACAGAACCGATACTCTTAGTTGGTACCATTTCCCCGTAAGAGCCTCTTTCCCAACTCGCTATAGAGACATTTCTAGGTATGATATTTTCCCATTGTAGTTACCAGGCAGTGGGGTCACAGAATCAACTAAGTGATATGCTATAATTAGTTTACAGTCCCTAAGTATGTGAGCCAGTTTATTCTTGGCTGTATTCGTTTTTGATTGATTACTACCTTTGCTCTTTTAAGTATTTGTTCATGTTTTTGATGATAAATGGAGTTTGTGACATGTGTAAAATGGTTCTTTTTTAAGGATTTTTGTTATCAGGAATATAAAAGACATTAACATTATGGGAGCTTGGCTTCGTTGGTGTTTTTTTTAAACTTTTTTTTTTAAATAATTTTATTTAATGTGATAGTCTGTATTTGAGTATGAGTATGTGTATGTTTATGTGTGTTTGTGTGCAAGAACATAGATCTCCATGGATACATATGTACATTCTTAGGTCTCTTATTCTTCTCCCCAGACTGTTATTGAATCTTACACATTCAAGTTCACATACAACAACCATGGAGAAGTGGACATATACAGGTTTGAGTTTTTTGCTTCAATATTTGCAGCACAGAACTTAACTAACTCTTCTGGTCCAAAACTTGTGTTATATTAACCAGTTCTGTTCTAAGAGGTTCTCACTTTAAGTAATTAAAATGTGGGTTTTCTGTCTTCTACTTAGTATTCTCCGGCCATAACCTCCAGTGAAAAGTTCTGGTTGTTTGTCCACTTCTAGACTTTGGTCTTGTTCCAGAACTTTAGTTTTGCATGCACATTCCTATAAAAGAATGTTTAAACTCTTTCAGTCCTGTGGGGAGGTTAGCATCAGATGCCTGTGGGTATTCCCAAACTGGCTTTTTAAGAGCCAAAACAGAAGATGAAGAAGAATCATCCAGTTGTATTTAAGTAATAGATTCATTTAATTGTAAACTGTATGAAATAGATGTTATTTTATTAGTTAAGAGACTTTAGTGAACATGTGAGATGGCAAATAGTTATCGTCCACACTTAACAGCACTACACCTCTGAACACTTTTAGCAGTACTCATCATCATCATCATCATCATCCTTTGCATGCAGTTCTCCGTCACATAGGGCTCACATTGGATTCCTCCACTCCGCTCTTTTGCATGCAGCACTGTTAGTAAAAATGTTCTTCTTAATGTTTCCCTTGGACGTCCTCTTTTTTCTCAGACTGTTTGTTTCCTATTTTAGTGCTTGTTTTATAATTCATTGCTCATTTTGTCTCAGAGTGTACTTAGTATGTCTCTAACTTCCTTTTCTTATTGCAATCGATACACCTATGTGTCATTTCTCGGATCTCCTCACTTTAAAAAAAAAATGTGTCCTATTTTATGTAGCAGTTAAGTTAGTTGCGCATCCTTTATAGGTCGTTGCAGAACCAACCCCAGTATTTATTTGACTGTTGTGGTTTTGCTAGGGATATTTTACGTTCAGTAGTTTGCCATTGCCTACTGAATGGTGAGCTCTCAGTACCACTTTTGAAACCAGTGCAAGATAAATCGCCCCAGCTGGGATTGAACCCGGCACCCTGGCTTTACAAAGCACATTTGCAACGCATTATAAATTAAATATTATGTAAACTAATTTATAAATCAACTCTTTTAGTTCCAGACAACACATCATGCGTACCAGATATTACTCCCATGCACTGGTCAACACATTTGATATATTTTGCATCTTAAATTTAGTTCTGCAAACAAAATCAAAGCAACAACGCAAGTCATTTACAATGTGCTGTATATTTGGATCATTTGGATGCAGTATACCCATTCTTTTGTTGTTGTCATTATTATTTCAGACAGGCATCAGTTATGATCTTCTTGGATGGAAAGAGTTAAATAACACAGCTAACTTTTAAAAAAAAAAACACACACACACATTTGCAGATCTTGAACCTGTTAGTACCCTCTGCTAAGTACATAAGGAAACACTCAATGATGCTGTGTTAAACATCTGAACTGATTTACATTTGTGCAGGAACAACAAGAGAATATCTAGTGCCCATTCTGCAGAAGAAACAAAGAAAGCAACAATACGGCTGCTCCGAACGCTGATCATTCTTACCAACACTCTGTCATCTCTCCCAGACAGCGTCATGATGACTATGAAATTATTTTACTACGATGAAAGTATGTACAATTGTTAATTATACAGTCATTTCCTTAAACAAAACCTTTTACAAATTTTATGTTTTTCTAATAGCCTAGCATTGTTTTGAAGTATACTTTTATGCTGTTTACATTTTGAAGGAGTGGCTGGCCAAGTGGTTAGTGCACAGACTTTCATTGGGAGACCAAGGTTAAGTCCACATTAGGGATGGGACATCGTTTTTTTTTTTCAGGGGTAAAAATAACAATCTTAACCTGCACAGTTTATGGTGACTGAGTTAGTCACATGGTCTTGGATTATCAGGCTCAAGACCCCCTCCCCATCCTACACTGCCCAAAAAGTAGCAGCAAACAGGCAGAAAAGACAGTTTATTTACATACTGATATTTCAAGAGAGTGTCTGCACGGTTGAGTGGTTCAGCAGTTTTTCTACTGCTGTGAAGGTTGTGAGTTTGTTTTCATGGACTGTGACATTCAAGTGCAGTTGTCATTGATATATATTTGTTCCTGTGGGTGTTTCCTGGTGTTATGAAATTCATGCTCGGTGTGGCACTCATGGCAGGCAGCTGTCCATTCTGTGAACAGCAACCTAGCCATATACCAGTGTTTCCCAACTTTTATTAGTCGCGGCGCCTTTTATCAATTAAAACCCTAACCTAAGTAAAAATATGACTATTCGTATGTAAGAGATAAAAAAAAAATATCCTATATTATTACCAGCACCCCTGTGAAGAGGTCATGGCTGCCCACTGCCCAGCAGTGCACAGTTTGGGAATCACTGCCATATGGTATAATATCCAGTGCAGTTAAATTGTTTGTCTTGCCTTTAACTGTAAACTGTGTTTCAGAATGTATTCTTTGGACATTGTTATAGATATTACCTTCAGCATCAAATCAGTTTATGTTCTTTTATATACATACTTTAACAGGAACAACTAAATATCTGCATTTATGTACATGCAAGGAAGACATTCAGGTTGCCCCACATCCTAATGCATTGATCTAGAATAAGTGAAGCTATAACACTTCACACAAATATGGCCAACATCTACTAACTTTTCCCAATGTGGGTTCTAAGGAGAGAAAGAATAAACCCACTGTTCATTAACAAGTATATTGTAAAAGGTGACTAAGGATTTGCTGATATTGAATATGTTGTGTGCAAACACTTTGTGTCTGAAGATATTTTCTTTAAACATAATTAAATTTTTAGTCACTAAACTTTAAAAAATTTACCAATTCTTTTTCAGTAACACTGAATCTCTTCACTTCCATTGAGTGTAACTATTATTAAAAACACTTCTTTGACCTGCAGTAACTCCAGCTGACTATGAGCCTCCTGGGTTCAAAGCTTCCACTGACGATGCCTTTGTCTTTGCTGAAGAAGCAACCAACATTGCTATTGGTGAAGTGGCCACGGTAATATACAAGTTTGCTGTATTACATGTATATTCATTGAACATATTGAACACATAAATGTTTATTTTAATAACACTCAGCATTTAATGTCTCCTTGTATCTTTATATAATTTATTGTTTCGTTAAAAATACATCATAATGTTGCACATTGGGAGTTGTCATGGTGTGGCAGTTAGACCCTCGCCTGTCGTCCAATCAATGGTCTTGGATTCAGATCTGAATGGAGCCATAATTTCTTTCAAAAATGACTTTGGTTCTCAGGGCCACACAGCCCTAATGGGTTCGGGGTAAAGTTGTGGGAAGTAAAAGCAGCTGGCATGATGTTTACCACACCCACTGAATGTTCATTGGTCTATGATATATAGGTCTAGCACTTTATGGCAATTTCACCCACTGGCGTGGAAAAGAGTGTTTGACTTTAATTTAATTTTGTCCATTTGTATCACATAGTAATAAATAAATAAAAGAATTACACTGTGCCCGTCGTCAAATATGGAGCCACTCCAGTTGGTTTTTTTTTAAAACAAAAATTAAAAGGCCCTCAGCTCCCTATTATGTGTGTTGAAACAGGGTTTGCTGAAATCTGTTGTGTTCAGCCAGTAGTAGCAGATATTGCAGCATAGTTGTAACCCACAATTTTCCAACCACCCTCTTAAAGATCATTGCAAAAGACAAATAAAAAATGAAAATAGACAACCTCCTTAAAGACTTTGGGGCCTCATTTTGGAGAAGAAAAAATAGATCCCTTAACATGCATACCATAAAGGGCAACCACTAGTGCTTTGCTGAAATAGCTGTGCTGGGCTGAAGAGCATAGATATTATAGCTTTTCTGTAAACAAGAACATGCCAACCACTTGTTTAATGGTGAATGCAGAAAAAAAACTGGGGAGCCGCAGTAACACTGCGACTTGCATGCATCACGGTCAACCCCAAGATTATAGGTTTGAGTCCCCAATGGGATTTTCAAAACTTGCTTGGACCCTCAGATTGACTCAGTCTAAAAATGGGTATCAGGAAGTGTTCTGGGAAGTGAAGGCAGCAAGCAGGATAATGTCAACATCACCTATTGAAAACTCTTTGTTGTATAACAAAAAAAATATGGGGCTCTGACCATATGCCCAATGAGACATATCTTTACCTATAATCATATCCCTGTAGCCTAAAATCTGTACCAGATTATGTCCTGGGAAGCAAATTTGGGTGGTGTGATGTCTACTACATTACCCATTAAGTGCTGTTTGATCTATAGACAAATAAGTCTAGAACTGTTTGTTCAAGGTGCTAAAGGCATCAATAGGGTCCTTAACTTTTTGTTTTTGTTTTTTAAAAACACTGTAAAAAGGTTATTGGGTTATTGCGGTGAACTACACTGATGCATTTGCATCAGTAAACCAAACTGAAGGTATACAGAGCTGCAGTGCTGCCAGTGCTGCTGTATACTTGTGAAACTTATGCTGTATTTAGATATCATGTAAAGAAGCTAAGTCACTTTTATACAGTCTGTCTGAGAATGATACTGAACATCAAGTGGCAACACAGGAACCTGGATACTGTCATACTGGATAGAGTTGGCATTGTCAGCATTGATACCATCTTGATGCAGTCGCAAATTCAATGAGCAGGTCCACTTGCCAGACCATCGACTCCCAAAAATTATCTTTTGTGGTGAGATACAAGAAGGTAGATGCTCTCATGGTGGCCAGAAAACAAAAACATTCTTCAAGGACATGGTATGGCATCACTTAAAGCCTTCAGTATAAATTCTGACACTTGGAAGGCTACTGCACTAGACTAGACTATATGGCAAACGTCTATCCAAAGAGGCGCAGTGACTTGGGAGGCATCTAGAAAAAGGGCAGCTCAACAGCGGAGACAGGCTATAAAGACCTGTATAACAGGTCCTTTACCTACAGACACTGTTTCCTGTCCTCATTGTCTTAAATCCTTCCAGGCCTCTATTGGTTTATAAGTTACTTCTGCACTCGCAGACGATCAACTGTAGTTTTGTGATAGATGAAAGAAAGAGTTGTCCTTATCACTTGTAATGAATGAACCACAACACACTGGTGCAAGTTAGTGTGTATATTTGTTATAATATCCCTGCTTCTAACAAATATAAATAAATGAAAATAGATCACATTACTAACTCAATTAAATCATTTTATTTTCCAGCCTTTTCATTTGTAAGTTGTGGGAGAGTTGATCTTTCAATTTGTTTGCTTGTTGTCAGTTATGAATTTATTTGTTCATATTCATCAATATTTCATCCAGTCTATCTTGGATAACTGGTGACAAATATCTGTACTATATTGTTTACATTGAACATTTACTATTTGTTGCATATTTCTGTTATCAAATCAGTCTCATGGTCAAAGATGTTTATAAATGACAGGTATTATTCGTAGTCTATAACCAATATTTGGATCCTCTATATTTCAGCATTTCATGCATTGGTTAACTCTTGCAGGACCAAATTTTTTTTCTGGGGCTTGGACAGCATTAACTTTGAGCGGAATTTTTTTTACTGCAACACGACAAAGCTAAAACCTTCCTGAAGAAAAAATATTGGCTGTATCGGGACACATAATCTATCAAATTAAAGAGTGCAGAATAAATATAAACTATTTAAGTATCAGTATTACAACAAAATATTATTGAAATCACACAACATTCAAAGATGTTAGACACATGTGAAGATTATTTTCATTTAAAAAATGTGTACTTACCTTACTGTTTTACTTGTTCAACAACACTGTTATCCAATTCTAAGTATGCACACGCCTTCTCTGTTCAATTAGGTATCAGCTAGTCATTATTTGAAACAATTAATTTAAATACTTTGGATGTTATGATTATTTATGTATGACATGTAAAATTTCTCTACACCTACAAATCGGGAAAACAGCTGATCGAAACACTGATCAGATTGAAATATTTTGTTCAATTTTCATATCCTAAACTAAATTATCACCAATAGATTTGTCACTTAGATATCAATCAAAATAACAAGACTACTGTCACCATCTGGCAAAGATTCATCAATGACAGAATCAACAAGTAAAGAAAAATCACGTAAAAATTGTATCGCGTCTGAAACATTTTTTTAAAATAAAGAAATATGCAAAAGCCAGGCGGAACATTGCAAACGAAAGAACTTCCTGTTGTTAATACTAATTTTCCCCACAAATGGAACAAAATTAGAGTGTCTGTGATACGCCAGTTAACTGGCGACTGGTCCGATAGGGATATCTCCTAAAGCCAGTAAACAGGTGACTACTTTCAAAGAGTTAATTATATTTATATAAACTATTTCTACTACAGGTATGGCTCTGTAGCTTTTGGGTTAGAGGAATGCTTTCACAGTGCAATTCTCTGTGTTTATCAGGGTTCGATCCCCGCACTGGGCAGTTGAGATACAAAATGTTTAAAAACAAATATGTTATTGCCTCTCAGTATTTATAGTTTATATGTCAACATCTTGACAAAAGATCCCAAAAATAGCTTTTGATTGTCAGTAATCATATTTGTATGTAAACTCCTTGACACAAGATCTCATAAACTATAATTATAAAACCTCAAAACATTGAAAAATACTAAATACTATTACTTGCTTTTTCATTATCTGAGATGGGTTTGAGGTAATCTCCTGGAAAGTAAAGGCTGCCAGCATGATGTTGACCGCATCACCCACTGAGTGCTGATGGATCTATCAAATATAAGTCTAGCAGCATGTACCAGCTGGGTCGCTGGATAAAAAGAGACCTTGACTTTTACTTTACTTATTCTTTATTTCAACAGCATCCCTATAAATGAGAAGTCACATTGTCTTCTTCTGCCTTTCTTACTCCTAGTGAAACATAGGCCCTCAACCAACTCACACCAAGTCGTTCTATCCTTTGCTATCGCATGCAGCTTTCCCCATGTCCTCCCCATCTTTTTAACTTTACTCTCTAGCTCCCTTCTCCATGTGTTTGTGATCTTCCTTTATATATGTGCCCTGGTGGGTTCCAATGCAAAGACATTCTTGTTATATTGTTCTTATGAGTTCTCAAAATGTGTCCTTTTCAATGCCAGCATCTTTTCTTTACCTCTTGGTCCACTGGCACTTGTTTACTTCTCTCCCAAAGCTTTACATTAGTGATTCTATTATACCATTTCATTCCCTCTATTCTGCGCAGGCACAAGGTAACTAATGTTTGTAGTTTATTAGTAATTGCCTTAGTTGTTCTACATGTTTCACACTATATTGATGTAATAATTGACAGGGTAAAGATGAGAGTGAAAACAGGCAGCAAGCAGTTTGAAATGCATGAAGATCCAGTCGAACATATGGAAGGATGTGCAGAAGAGACCTTATCAATAAACAATGCAGGGCTCGATTATGAGGTAAGTTAACATAGTTACAAACATAGGTTTCACAAGTGAAGTAAGCCTTATGAATCTGTACTCTATCTGGAATCTGTCAGTTCTTTATAGTATTTTGTTAAAAACAAATTATGTAAAAGCAGCAGAGATGTGGTCTTATAGAGGAATGATGATAACAGCATGGACAGATAAAAACAGAGTAATGAAGATGTCAAGAAAGAAATTGACTCATGAAGAAAACTGATTCATCACATAAGAAATAATCGTATGCATTAGAACAGGACACAATCGACTTTGCAGCCATATGTACACAAAATTTAAAATCAGCGAATCAGTCATGTGCACATGTGGACTGGCACCTGAGACAACAGATCATGTCCTCCAAGACTGTCCCAAATACAACATATCAAGACAAAACCTTTAAACGGATCACTAAGTGAATTACAAAAGACAGTGAAGTTCATACTAGAGACAACATTGCAGATATAGATAATCTATTTCAAGCGAACGAAAGAAGAAGAAGAAGACATAAGAAAGAGACAATCTATATTCTTTGGTTAGTTAGTTGGTTAGCTAGTTAGATAGTTAGTTAGTTAGTTGCGTTATCATCATTGCCCTCCGGACATGTCCATTGGTGCTCAGATCTTTGGGTACATCGTGAGAAGGAGAATACTGGAGTACATTGTGCTTGTTGGAAAGTTAAAGAAGAAAATATGCAGAAGAAAACAAAGAGAGAAGATGCCAGACAATTAGACATGGCAGTGAGGATTATCTGTGTCATAAACAATTTAAAGTAGATGAGACAGAAGGTCACTGACATGACTACCAAAGCTGAACAACACAAACTGTAAGAAGAAGACATTTTTTTTTTCTGTCGTCATGTTTCAAAGATCAAGTGATTTAAAAAGAAATTGAACAGAATATGGAAGAAAACTTTGAGTTAAATGACAGCTCACCAACTACTATGTTACTCTGGTATTCATAAAAGGTTTCCTAGCAGATGCTGAGTTGGAGAAATATGTAGTGAACAATCTTGAAGTTATTACATTTAAAGTAGCCAGCTCAGTTGGAGCAGTAACAGTTATGAACAACCTTGAGGTCATTACCACTGGGAAAGCCAGATTTCTTTATCATGATAGACCAAATATAAACACGCCAAAAAATGCATCTGATGACTGGGATTCATGGAAAGAGGTAATCTGTCAAATAATAGCTATATTTAATTATTCTAAAATTGCTTTGCAGACTAGTATCATCTTTACACTCTAAGTAATTAATATGCAGTTTTACATATACACCACATTTTTCTTTAAAACTTGTTGTCAGGTAAATGGGACAAGTGCACTTGAAAAGGAGGTGACATGCAATAAAGAGGCTACAGTATCAGCTGCAACTAGTACCTGTGAAGGAAAACAGACACCCAGCAATTTAAGTGCACCCAAACCTGGTAAGCTTTGAGACTTGACTATCCTCTAGTTAGTGTTTCATTTGCTGAAAACAGTATGAGTTTTCTTTTAAAGGTGATTTATTATTATTTTTTCACAGATGTCTTAAAAGATAACAGATAAATGCCAGGATGCCCTGGCCATATGGATGGGGTGCAACAAAGCATGTGATTCTGTTGTTTGTGATAGGGCACATGATTATGTTGAAATAATTTTTTTACTCCTCTCTTTTTGCCATCTGGGTTTCCAGCTACACAGGCTTTCTTCTGTAGGCCCTCTTCAGTGCTAGCATCTTTTATAAAATCCTCACCTGCACAGTCGTGGCGACAGCTCTAGCCATGCGGCCATGAATTCTCACGCTCAAAGACCCCCCTGCCTATACCGCAAAAGTGGTATAACAAAATCAGTAATTGACACTTAAAACAGATACTTAAAAGGAGGATGTCTATACATGGTATGGAGTGAAAAAAGAGGGGGGGGGGGGGGGGCAGCCCTCCCCTCCCCAAAATGAACACTGGGGAAGGGGCCCTCATTTGTTGATGGGGTCTCCAGAGGTAAAACACCCGTAGATATGGGGACAAAGAGAGCACCACACAAATAAGGCCACAACATTTCCCTGTCCCACAAAACTATCAGGGAAGTTAACCCAGTAAACAAATGTTTGATGAAGTTGCATGTGTCGGCTGAAAGGCATAAACACCCATCACAACTCTGTTGTAAACAGGCACAACATATCTATGTCACTCAGATAAACGAAAAGACGAAGAAGAAAGTTTAGCCAGGTCATCATTCGACACAGCATTCATGACCTGGCTGTGATTATGTCTAGGCTGTTAATCTTTCTTGCACAGATTTTTACATAGTTCACTGTCAACAGTCTTCAGCTTATCATTCAGAAAGAGTTCACAATTGTATCATTACTATCATGCAAATATGATTAAATTATAACACTGTACATACCGTGTGGCCTATTTTGTAACATATAATGGTGAGAAACTGGCGTGTACATGATATTCTTTAATGTTCTCTTTTGTAATCACGATCTGATGTAAATTCTGAGAAAGACAATGCCAATGAATTTCAAGTGAGGTGTTCATGTGAACTAATTGGTAGCTTCCTTCGAAATTGGAGTACATCTGCCTGAGAGGCAAGAAACCAACAGTCTGCATGCTAATGAGTCAGACCTGTGAAACAGATGTACACGCAACACTCAGGTTCTAGAACAGGACTGGAGTCCAGAAGTAGACAAACAACTAGAACTTTCAGCGGGATTTTACATCTGGTGAACACGAAGAAGGAGAAGAAGAAAAAGATAACACTGTATACCATGTGGCCTATTGTGTAACACATATTGATAAGAAACTGGCATGTATATGACATTCTCTAATGACTTTTTCTGTAATAAGGGTCTGATGTAAACTCTGAGAAAGACAATGTCAATGAATTTCAAGTGAGGTGTCCATGTGGATGTAATGAGGTAGGTATAGTGTATATTTGTAGCAGGTGTTTCCTCCACAGGTTTTAGGTATTTCTCTTTTCAAGAAACTCAGTCTGTAGTAAAAGATTCAGTTGTGGATGATCATTAGGAAAAATTAAATATTTTGGTTTGTATACTCCTTCTCATTTTGCATGATAGCATGCCACACATGTTAATTGTTCATTATAGGAGTAGTGAGGCGTAATCCCCAGGTCTCCCAAATGACGAGTTAGGGTCAAGGAGCATGTAAACGAGAGAAAGAGACATGTGCAAATTCCCATGTTTGATGAATGATTGAGAGTGAAAACCAGTGAAACGGGAGCGGAGGTTTGGAGGTTAGAAAGGACATAAAATCAGTTGGTGTTTGACAGCTTGAGTGTATGGTCGAGATGCAAGTCCTTCATCAGTCCTTCACATAAATGGAATGCACGGAATGCAAGGTAACCACGTGCTGAACAGAGTGCATTTAATGCAACTGTATTGATGATTGATCCTGGCATGAGTGAGAACAGAGGACAGTGACCAGACGATACTATTGTCGGAACTACAATAAAATGACAAAATATCAAATTGGTGTCTTGTCAACATATGTGTATTTAACAGCTGAATCGTGAGGACACCAGAGACCTCTGGATCTCTAACTAGAAACTAGATAAAGCAACATCGCAGTAGGATCATCTTCATTACCTACTGAGCATATCCATAGTGCTCTGATCTTCTCCCAAGAATGTTTCTTAGTGTGTTCACACTGATATCCTGTTCAGCATAAGTTGCTATAGTGACTGGAAGCTCTTTCATGGTGGTTGCATAATGTTGCAGTGGTGTATATAGATCCAGACCAGAGATGTTCACATTTAGGCTACAGGCTACTAGTATAAGATTATTTGAGCATGTCAAAAGATCTCTTGGGAGTTGAAGATCATAGACAGTAGGCCATCATTGATATGGCACTGGCAGATATGCCAAAATTATAAAATGTTGGCAATAGAATGTTTCTAGTAGGTAATTTTCTACTATAAAGACAATACTACATCAGTTTCCCAAGAATAGCTGTATGGGCTATTACAAAGCTGAGTGCAAAATTTACTGGGGCATAACATGTTTTTAAAGAAAAATATTATACCTATCTTCAAACTGAATAACCTGATATAAGTGTACATTTTTTATCACATTTTATGTCATCATAAACCCATATGACTCTGCGTTTCAGTAAGGAGCACTTATGGGTTTGCACCTGTGTGCCATGATGTTAATCCGTCAACTATAACTAAACTGTTTCAGTAAGACTATTGGCTGATTAGCCTGTCTTCCTAATTGATTCCTCACAATTGTACTGTATTATGATTGAGTTGGTTTAACCAGTAAATGAGTTCAAAACAGTGCTTTCTTGTGGTAAATTTACATCATGTGAACACAAACAACACATTCCACAATTTATTGCCAGGCATATTTCACAGTATCTCATCAGGTGCATTGATGCAGAGATGACCTTAGTGAGCATGTGACTATTTCTGACTTTCCTTTAGGGAGATGTACAGTGTAACAAGAGAAAATTGTGATTGTTAATTTAACTAGAAAAGGTCCCTAAATCATCTCATCCTGCCTCCTTGAGAGAATAGAGAATGTCTGTTGGCTTGGTCCATTGATCTACTATGGCCCTGCCAGCAAGCTAATCTTCTCGTTCATTCTCTCTAAAGCTCCGGTGGAAAGTCCTAGTTGTTCATCTACTTGGACTTTGGCTTTGTCCTAGGGCCTCAGTTTTGCGTGTACATCCATTTTACTGGACTATTCGTGCAGCTGGTTGTTCCTTGCCTCTGGGCAGATGCACTCTGACTTCAATGTAAGCCCCCAACTAGTTGACTTCTATGACATGCATGTTAGGGGGGGGGGGCAGTGGGTCTGTTCTTATTTTTCCCCACAATGGTGCCCTGGAGCCCACACAGGGCTAGTTCTTTATTGATTTACTATTCTTTTCTATCTTTAGCTACCTGTATAATGTTTTTGTTTGACAACACCTTTTTTTGACATAAAGTTCTTGTAGTCTTGTCAAGGTTGCCGATTCACTGCCATCTCCTCATTTATCTGCCTGTCCTGCCTACTTAGGAGCATTAAAAATATCGGCCTGGCTATTCCTTTTCCCGTGCCTTCCATGGTCCTGACAGCAAGCCACTCCTCTCATTATTTCCCTCTTACCCCAGAGTGTCCTGACACAAACATTTCTTTATGATAATAACCTTTTTTTTTATTGTTGTCAAGGATGATGGCTTGATGATTATGTGCTCTAACTGTAAGTTCTGGCAGCATGGAATTTGTTTCCTCATAACAAATGAGGGAAAGGCACCAGCTTGTCATATCTGTGATGTGTGTGCAAAGGTAAATACATAGTTTAAATATCAGTGTAATTACTTAGTTTAAATGTGAATTATGATAAGTAAAGTAAAGTAAAGGTCCCTTTTCCACGCCTTTAGGCGTATTGGAAAAATAGAGCTAGGCCTATAGTTTTATTGAGCAATCTGCACTTGGTGGGTGATTTGGTCAGCATCACGCCGGCTACCTTTACTTCCCAGGACTGCACCTGGTACCCAATCAAGGCTGGGTCGGCCTGGGAGTCAAGGTCATTTTTGAAAAAAATGTTTGGCTTTAACAGGACGCCAACCCATGACTTTCCGATCCACAGGCAGCATCTAGCCGCCAACGTTTTCAAACATATATTTCTGTGTAATAAATGGTTGCATTAAATAGTATATAAGCTTTAGTGAGAAAGTGCAGAAGGAAGAAAGAGGGAGTGAGGAGAGAGAGATTTGGGTAACATTAAATAGTTCTCTATATTTATATGTATCTTTATACTTTTTATATCTAAAATCTGTTTGTAGAGTAGAAATCCCAGTATTATGGTCTCATTGATGGTATGTTGTATTGTTTTAAACACATTTTTATCACACTAAATCATATATTAATGATTCTAATATCAACATTTTTTTATTGTTCCAAAAACGATTATAAGCTTATTAGCTATAACTAACTGAATTACATTTTAAATATTCACCTCTTGTTTGTTATTTTTTTTTTTAATTTTTAATTTCCATCAGAGAGTTTTATATGTCACTACATTTGTGAAATAGTGTAAGTCCTAGTAAATGAAAAGTAAATCATGGACGATTGGTAAATTAGTGAAAACTCATTTGGAAGCTGTGGAAATGTGGTTGTATAGATGATTGATGGCAATACCTAGGACATATAAAAAGAGTAATTAAGATGCCTTGAAAGAAGCTGACTGACACAGAGAACTGAGTGCCCACATCAAAAAGAGACAGTCTATATTCTTTGATCATGTGACCAGTAGAAGAAAATTGGAGTACATCGTGACAGTAGGAAAGTTATAGGGGAGGAGAGGCAGAAGGAGACAGAGAAAAAAAAAGCTGTTGGACAGATTGTAATCATGGCATGGAATATCATCTGTGTCAGAGTTAATTGAGAGCACACGAGACAGAAGGTTGTGGATAGTCATGACTACCAACGCCATACGGCATGGACTTTTAAGAAGAAGAAGTAAAGGACACTTTTCATGCTGGTATTATGTCATGCATATGATGCTTGACTCAGATTTGTATACACTAATCGGGTAATATGGTCAACATTGTACAGCTACCTTAACTTCCATTATAGGCTGGGTTGAACTGGTAGCCAATGTCATTTTTGACAAAAATCCGATCTATGGCGATTTCTTCTTCTTCTTCTTCTTCTTCTTCGCGTTCACCAGCTGTAAACTCTGGTGGAAAGTTCTGGTTGTTCATCCACTTTTAGACTGCAGTCCTGTTCCAGAACCTGGGTGTTGTGTGTGTACCCGTTTTACAGATCTGACTCATTTGTATGCAGACTGCTGGTTCCTTGCCTCTCAAGCAGATGCACTCCACTTTGAAGGAAGTTCCCAATTAGTCGACTCTTACAACATGCTTTTGGGTAGGCAGTGGATCTATTCTTGTTTTCCCTATTACAGGGCCCTGGAACCCACACAGGGATGGCGATTTGAATCCTAAGCTTTTAGAATGGCAGACACATGATTTGCGGATATGCTGCCTTTGCTTCTAAAATAATGTAAACAAATGTCAATTAGTTTGAAGTGCAAAACGAATAATTAGAATTATATTTTGGTTTCCAGCAGGACAATGGTAAACATGTGCCAACTGACCTTTATCTATCCGGTATATCTTCCATAGCTGTGCAGGTAAGTAGAAACTGATTCTTTGTCTCTGCTCATCTTATATTGTGTATCATAGGCTTGATGTTTTCTTTATAGTCCTATACGTTTTGACCCTTAACTCCAAACCAAGTCATGGAATGCATTATATACTTTTTCACTCTTTCACTACCAGGCATGTCTTACGTCCACTTGTTCTGTTCCAGAGTGTGTTTACTCTGGAGAAACAGTCTTCAAATCTTTCAATCCCACACACTTGTTACTTTAACCTTTTCTAGTGTAACGACTTGAGCTTAAATTAATAGATAATTTGATCTAAAGAATTTTAACAGAGAATCTAAAGGACAGAATATAACATCCGCTTAAGACAGGGATAAAAAAGCGCTCACATTTTTCTTGTATGGCAAGAAACACACAGTGCATTGTTTGGTATTAAAAGAGTTAAGGAGTTCAAACAAAGCAACTGTGAAGCAATAAGAGCTAATGTAACACTCAGGATGTGTAGTAAGTAAAAGTGTAAAGAACTCTTTTCATATCAGTGGTGAATCAGGCATTTTCTGCTAGACTCATATTTCTAAAGACTTCATAGGGGATTATATCAACATCATGCCAGCCGCCTTTACTTTCAAAGACTTGACCTGATACCTATTTTAGGCTGTGTTGACCTGGGAGCCAAGGTCATTTTTTTTTTCCTTTCCATTCTACCTGCCTAATGTTTTTTAAATGAAAGGCCACAGGCTTCTATGAAGGGTGTAGTGCAATGCATGTCTTGCATATTGCCTGTCTTCCACTATTCCAAACTGCTTGGTTTATGCTGCAATGCTAATCACCAAAACCTGGGATCTCTCTACTGCATGTAGAGAGCATGTCTGTAGCACATGTTCAGTATTCTGTGGTGCCTGTCCACCCGGGCAAAGTTCTGAATTCCCAATCTTGAAATGTCTTGTACATATGGCTGCAGAGTCTGTTATGTCTAGCATGCAATCTGTATATAAAGATCTGTTTCTTTCGTGTGAGGGAACTGAATTTTTGTTTTAAATCTGGCTTGATGTTTACCATATGGAAGGTCATCGATAAACATATGATGAGTTGCCTCTTACTAAATGAATTAAACCATGTAAGTAAATTAAGTAAGTAAAGGACCCTTTTCCACGCCCTTACGCGTATAGGGCTAGACCTTTATTTTATAAACCAATCGGCACAAGATGGGTGATGTGGTCAGCATCATGCCGGCCACCTTTACTTCCTGGGACTGCACCCGGTACCCACTCAAGGCTGGGTAGAGCTGGGAGCCAAGGTCATTTTGTTTTTAAAGTTTGGCTCCATCTGGGAGAATTAAACCATGTGGTATTTTTAATTTCAGGCTACCTGCCTGTGGAGAAGAACACTTACTGCAGTTATGGAATTTAAACGTGTTGTAGCTCCTGAGCTGGCAAGAAGACTTGGGATAGAAAATACAGTAGCACAAGGACTAATCAATAGATTAGAGAAGGAGGGTTTTATCTCCAATTCAAAAAGAGGGAAGAAGTTAGTACTTTTTATTATTTTAAAATTTGTAATTAATTTATGTTTTTCATAATTTACAGATTCAGGATGTTTGATAGGTAACTAGGCATAATGGGATATGCTTATTGGCATTTCATGTCTGAATTCGTCAGTATTATATCAGCTGTGCTTATTTGTTTAATTCATTTTAAAAGAAATGCCTGGGGAAAATGTTGAATATAAAATGGGATAAATTCAAGAGTGGTGAAAAAATAAGACAAATCACTGGGCAACCAGTACTATCAACAGTTAGAAGACATAATATGGCGCTATATTGGACACAGAAGAAATTAGCAGAGAATCACCAAAAAGGGACTAGCATGGAAAATAAAGAAGACAAGAAGGCAAAGATGCCTAAAAGAAACTCTAAAACAATTGTTCATGAGAGAGGCCTAATGTGTTGAACTGGATTCCTTCTTGATATTGAACTGATTGAACAGGATAGAACAGAATGAGGGAATAGACTGTGAGCCCTGGGTGACATACAGCAGCAGGGCAATGATGATGATGAAGATGATGCATTTATCTCCTAGGATATGTGCTGGTTCCCATTTTAGACTGAACTGACTTGGAAACCTCACTTACTTATAAAATGGATGCATGCAAATTTCAGAAGTGACTAGGATGTGAAGAAACAGACATAAAGTAGGCCACTCCACCTCATTTTGCAATGGCCTAGCGTATATGAAGACTCAGCATTTTACTCACCAGTAGCAAAATCTGCCAATTTTTTTATTTGTGAAAACATGAACATTAACTTACTTAGTAGGTATCTGTGGTTTAGGGATTATGAGCACAGTTTCATAATTTCAGCTTACCAGATTCAAAGTCCGCTACAGCTAATGCAGCAGAATAAAAGCAATGTTTTCCTATTGAGAATTTGAACAAAGAAGACACAAACAATAGACTGCACATTTTATTGCCTGGCATATTTTGCTGAATCTCGTCAGGTGCTTGCTATAGTAAAAGTTTATTACCATGAATCAGATAAATGAATCCGTCTGTCTGTAAACTCTTGTGGAAAGTTCTGATTGTTCGCCCACTTCTGGGCTTTTTGTCTTGTTCCAGAACTTGAGTTTTGCATACACATCCCTTTTGTAGATCTTCTTCTTTTTGCATCGTCTTTTTCTTCTTCTTTTTTCTTCTTGTTCTGCTGCTGCTGCAACAGCAAGTGCTGCTGCTGCTTCTGCTTCTGCTTCTGCTTCTTCTTCTTCTTCTTCTTCTTCTTCTTCTTCTTCTTCTTCTTCTTCTTCTTCACATTCATTGGCTGTAAACTCTTGTGGAAAGCTGTGATTGTTCGTCCACTTCTGGGCTTATGTCTTGTTCCAGAACTTTAATTTTGCATGTATATCCATTTTACAGCTCTAGCTTATTTGTATGCAAACTGTTGGTTCCTTTTTTCTCACATAGATGCTTTTTGACTTTGAAGGACACCCCTAATTAGTCGACTCCTACACCAGTTTTGTTAGGGAGGCAGGACTGTTGCCCCTCCCTCCTAAACTCCACCTCCCAAGTGAGGTTCAGAAATACACATAGAGAAACACCAGGCAGTAAACTTTGCAATGTATTGTTCATGTTGTCTTTGTTAAAATTTGGCAGAAGACCCCACTGCACTGAGTTTGACAATGGAATGAATATCAGAAAGGTTCAGAGAGCAATTGCAAAATGCATGTAACAATTCCTGAATAAAACCATAAATAACCATAAATGTTAGTTTCGTTTGTAGTATACTGTAAAAAATATGCAACTAACTTTTCTTTGTAAGACTACCTTTTACATAATTGTTTCACATAATTCTCGTTTACTGTATTGCATTTTTCAAAGAGTTATCCTATGTACAAATACATTTTGTCCATGCTTCAGTCCACATTTTGGAAGAACTTATTACATTTAGAGAATAGAAGGGTGATGTTTATCTTCACAAGGACCGCACACTGTCAAACACTCAGTGACACAAAATGCCACCATTCGGATGAGAAACCTCTGGTGCAAGTCCAAGAAACCCTTTTCAATTTTAAGTTATATAAGGGCACCCAACAACAGCTGGGGTGGAGCCTTAAAATAACAAACAATTGCATCTGATAATGAGGCAGAAAAGGTCAGAGAGAATAGAAGATTATAATTGGGGTGTTATTAACAATGTAATACAGTAAAACCTTAACACAAGAACAAGCAGATAGACTGGCTGGTTCTGTACAACTTGTTAGTGAATTAATGCATTACAAGCTAGATGTTGTAAGGGCCCTCTGTGGGCCAGTGAACAGTGAGGAAGCACAGATGGATCATCATGGTCTGAAGAGAACGGTACTGTGAGAAGTGACCAGGGGATCGGGTCGATGATCAACACCCAAGGGAAAGGTAAGACTGATATACAATCAAACTGCTATTGGTACCACTGGAATTGTAACTGTGCTTGCTGCTGAAGATGGGATCGGAGCGCTTATAGAAATATCCTGAGCGCTGTGATGTTGATTTTTAATTAAACATTAAACCAGGGCTATTCAACCAAGTTTCCTCAGGGGCCAACATTTTTAAAATAGGGGTCATCACAGGCCAGTGGCCCGACCCACAACATAGAAAGATTTGTAATGCAATACAACTGGCAATGTTTCATGGGCTATTTGCTAGGCCTCGGTGGGCCACTAGTTGAATAGCTGTGCATTAAACCTTAACACAAATTCCAGGGGACAGCTAATTCAGTTCATGTTAAACAAAATTTGTGCAAACTGGGGACTAATGATATTAATACATCCCTGACGGGACCAGAATGTTGCTATGTCAACCAAGTGTTCTTCTTAGTGAGTTCATGTTAACAAGGTTTTACTGTAGCTCACAACTTGTAAATGATTATTGTCCTTATTTCCCCTTCTGCTTCTTAGACTAGGGAAGATAGTAGACAAAGGAAAAATTGAGACTGAAGGAATTCCTCGTTATCTGAAAACTCCAAAGACTTTATCAAAAATGGAAGTGTCTGCTGATGTTCATGCTGAAATGGTATGTAGAATGTAGCTATATTGTGTGTGGATGCTTTTACTTTTCAGCAAGTTACAACATAATCCTACAGATGTGAAGGTAACATTTCCATGCATTGATGCATTTAGAGCACATGGTGCTGGTGGTATATTGGTACCCAGTGGGTTATGTAGTCATTGTCAAACTAGCCACAGCTACAGTACTTGCCAGAACATTTCCTGGTACCTGTTTTTAGTCTGGGTTGTTTTGGAAGCCTAGGTTTAAAAAGAAAATTTATTTAATGAAAAAAAATAACATCAGTGCTTGAAACTGAGTTCAAACAGTTGAGATTCTGAGGCCATGTTATTAAGTACAGCTCCTTGTTAAAGAATGTTCTGACAGACAAGGTGGATGAAAGTTGTGCCATTTAAAAACTTTTGGCTCTACCCATTTGCTTGCTCGTCTAAGAGGAATGCATCATACTGGACCAACGGATGTCTCTAGGTTTAACACATTCAAAGGTTTAAAAAACAAAAAAAAAAGACAACAGAACACTGTCCTCTTTAGTGCATGTCAAAAGTGGAATGGCCACCTTTAAACTGTCATTATGATGTCACTATATTAGTTGGCACTCTTGTGTCACATGATTAACACTCTTGACTTCTTTAATATTGTTACAATATTGACAGTTTGCAAGACAGTGTATTGTAATTTCTTTCAAACTTGTAAGGTTTTCATATATATTTATATATATATATATATATATATATATATATATATATATATATATATATATATATATATATATATATATATATATATATACACACATGTATATATATATATACACACACACACACACACACCATCACAAGTACTACATCTCAGAAGATCAGCTACAAGAGCAAGAGGACGGCTGCGGAAAACATGGATAGACAACATTAAAGATGCTCTACGACTTCACGGCATGACAATAGCCATTAGCAACCAACGTGCACTGGATCGCACATTATTGCTCCCCACGCCGCCTAACAGCAGACGTGTTTTATGATGATGAATGAATTATATATATACTTATATATTCTATTTGTATGCTTCCATTGAGAAGGAAAGTGCATGACATTTTGTTAAATCAAATAATGTTTCCGTCATTTATTTTGTTTGAGGGGGAAAAAAGAAATTATTGTAAGCAGCCAAAACATGACTATTGTTTATACTATATTATTAACTCACATTTAATGAATAAGCCTCTGACTATTATCTTATTAAATATTTAGTGTTAGATATGCTTCAGAATTCAACTGGAGTGGGTTTTTCATTTCTTTATGCATTCTCAGGAAATAAACACAGCAAACAGACCACCACCAGAGACTACACAAAACAATGCTAGCAAGGTATTAGGTTGATTTTTGTTTTCTTTACTGTTCTCTGTTTTGTTTATGTTAAATAGCAAGAATAAATTACAGATGAATCATATCACAGAATGTTGATTGTTGCCACCTTTCTGTCTTTTGAGATGATAGTGTTACAGGGAGGTATGACAATCACAGAGATCTCTGGAACGGGACCTTCTGTTCACTTCGTAAATAGTACTTTTCAGTGCCATCTGCATCTTCGACCTCTGGCGTTATTACAGCTGTATCTGTGTAACATTGCTTTTTGCGGTATGATCTTGGTTGGCAGCCTTGTTACATGGCCAAAACATTTGATATGTTATCTACCGATCTTTCCTTGTAACACCTAGCAAGACAGCTATTATTGTGGTTAATACTGATATAAGATGCTTTCCACTGTGGCCCACAGATTTTTACTCCTAGGATCTCTAAGTGTTATTATTGAATTCTTTCAGTCCCATACATTTCTTCTTCTTCTTAATTTTTCATCTTCTTTTCATCTTCTGCCTTTTACCTTAAAATAATGTTGGCACACTGTACTGCGTGCGGTATATAGCTAGGCTGCAGTATCTGCTTTTTTGTTCCACCTATCCACTTCAAGCTAAACCTTAATTAGTCACCTTTGACGGAATGCTTGTTAAGGGCAGGCAATTGGTCATTTAACCCGTTCCCAATGGCACCATGGAACCCATATAAGGAAAAGACCCAAATATTTATTAATAAATTGTAACATGTGCTTAAGGCACAACAATTAAAGCCACACCTACCTGAGACTGAAAGAGGCCAGCATGCAATGACTAATTTGTAGTGTATGAAGCCTACCTGTTGATCATGGTAGCTCTGTATTATCTACTATGCTCATTGCCGCTGTCTACATCAGCTTCCAGGTTGTATTAGAATGATTAGTGATTTAGTGCCACTTTTGAGACATCAGAATTTCAACATGCACACAGAAAAAGGCAGCTGATAAATGCGTTATTCATACCAACTGTGTGCTTTCAATGCCAGATATGGACAGTCCTAGAAAAACATAAACACAAATCTACAGCATGTGAGACGAGATGTATAAAAAAATGTGACGGCACAAAACAAGAAAAGACTGAGTCACTAGTGGAGATCTAAGAACAATTGTAGACACAGTACCGGTCAATGATTTCACAGAACATCAAAGAATCCAATGATTCGGTTATCTGGTCAGAATGGAACAGAATCAGCCAGCAGCTGGAGCGTACTACATGAGAACAACAAGCTACGAGGCCAGAGGCTGTCCAAGAAAGAAATGAGTGGAGGAAAAAAATTAGACACTACAAAAACAAAATATGACATTAACATAAGCTATGCAAACTAGCAAGAGACAGGAAACTATATATAACTCATTCCTGCATTGCTTTGTAGCATAAGCAGTAGGACAAAAGAAGAAGACTGATTTAAGAATCAAGATCATAGCATAGGAAACATGCCAATTGACGCCTCATCTCCCATAGAAAATGTATTGAGGTGAAGATACTTGCTGTTCCAGTAGCACACTGGTTGTAAACACATCATTCTGTTCCTCTTGTACATCCTTTCTTGCTGTATACACACCTATTTTGAAATTCACATTAACCTTACACATGTTGTTTCTTCTTACATTGTATCTTCAATCGGCATTCTTTCATAAATGGTAGTGAGAATTTATTCCTTGTCCAATATTAATATTTCAACAGTCACTTCTGAAACCAAAAAATCCAGTTTTATTAGTTCACAAACAGACATATCCCAGAAAGTATATCCATGTAAATCCCTGTCATGCTGACATGCTGATGCTTGTAGTCAAAGGACCTACTAGATACTGAGCTATTTATTTCCTGTTAATTCTAAAAGTATGGTTTTATTTGTTTAGCTTTAATGTTGAGTTACAAGGTGGAAAAAAAAAATAAGTAGAAGCTTTATGTATTTTATTTGCTGTTGTTGCTTTCAGCATCTTGTTACTGTCTTTACTGTATTTGAAGAAAAAAGAAAGGGATATGTTGAAAAATCATACATCAAGACAGAATTTAACATACCTATGAAATGTAACTTCCTGAATGATTGTTACAGATTGTTGATGCTCTTGTGGAGAAAACAAATCAGATCAATCTTCACGCAAATAAGCGTGTGACAAGAAGTTCACCATCTCAGGTAATAAGTTCATTTTTTCTTCATTAAAAGATTTTATTATATAGATTTAGGTACCGGAAATACAGACTAATTATATGTTGCATCAAAATATAGGTTTCTGTCAAGAATTAATTTAGTGTGTATTGTTTTTGCCAAACAGTAAAAGTAGAGAACTTTTTTTCACTTAACAGAAGTGTCAGACCTGTATTTGTATAAACCAGTCAGCAAATGATTGGAGATGTTGTCAACATCATGCTGTCTGCACTCTGTCTGCATTCCTTTAAAAAAAAACAATATTATGAGAAATACAATTATTGAAGAGACCTGTTGGAGCATCAGTCCACTCACAGTTGGAGGCAAACATATCCCAGAACTCATATATGCAGATGACACAGTTCTCCTTTCCAATAGTCCTCAGGGCTTGGAAAGGTTAATTTTGAACATTTAAAAGTACAATAAAGAAGATAGTTTTTTGTTTCTTCTGAATTTTAAAAAACAAAGTGCACAATGAGTAAAGCTCACTAACCATGTATTAAAATCGATAGTGAGGAGAGAGAAAATGTCACAGATTTTGAATATTTGGGCTCACTAGGGAACAACAATGGTGAGTGTATAAAAGAAGTCGGAAAAATACTTGTTTTAGTGATACAGACGCATGAAGAACCTTCAGAACAGCACCTGCAAGCAGGTTAAAATAAAAATTTTGAGACGATGCATTTTGTTTCAGTGGCAGCTTAGGGTTGTGATTCAGAGACTGTTAGTTAAAGAAAAATCGGAACTTTTGACATTCTTCCTCTTCTTCTGTGTTCATCTGAAGATGTAATTGTCTTGTGCATGGCTGTGATATTTGCGCCTCTCGTCCAACAAATCCGACTTCATCAGGCATTTGTTGACTGGGTTTTGAACTGAAATGCTACAGAAAAATTCTTGAAATACCATGGTACAAGAAACAGAGAAAAATCATGGTCATCCTGCATGATTTGAACAGTGAGGCAAATAGGGTCATAAACAGCATCCTCTCCTGAAAGCAGAGATATTTTGGGTCATGTTTAACGTCATGGTGGCCTGGAGAGAATGGTGATGGAAGATGCAGTTGGCAGAAAACTAGGCAAAGACCAACCCTTACAAAAGTAGATACAAGACATTGATGATGCATTTGATATAAAAGTACACAGGGCCAGAGAACTGGCCAGAGAAAGAGAGACTTTCAGGCATGCTATGAAGAAAGTGTCGTTCTGTAAAGAAGCTGCTGATTGATGAGTCTGTAATCCTCACCCCTTCTAATATCTGATAGGCAGCAATAATGCATTGTGCAGCAACAGTTAAATGTAATTGATAGATATCAGAATGTTTACTGTATATATAGTCAGATATAAAAAAAATGAAAGTCCAAGGAAGGATGATCTTCACAAGACAAAAAATGATTGCTTGAAATACTAGAAGTTCAAATTTTAATTTTATATATATATATATATATATATATATATATATATATATATATATATATATATATATATATATATATATATATATATATATATATATATATATATATATATATATATATATATATATATATAAAATTAAATATATATATATATATATATATATATATATATATATATATATATATATATATATATATATATATATATATATATATATATGCAAGTGTGGGTGGGGTGGGTGGTTTTAAATTTTATTTTTCTGATGTCATCTGTATACCTTAAAAATATTACACATTTCAGAAAGAAATTTCAGTTTCTAACATCCAGAATGAAGCTAAAGGGAGAAGAGGCAAGAAGCGTGCATATTCCAGAATAAATTCTGTACGTAAATTTACGTTTGTGTGGTTATCTTTCACCTTGGAGTAACTTGAATACAAAGCATGTTATATTTCACTGTTTACCAAATACAGACATGAAAACATGTTGCCTTTCGCTGTTGACTAGCTTCTGCGCAAAACACCTTATCTTTCACAGTTGACTAGCCTATATACAGTTTTTATCTCTCATTGTTAACTAGTTTAATACAGTGTTTGGTAAGTGAGTGTTTGTTACTTTTGTTTTTTCTCTGTTGACTAGCTTCAAAACAAATGTTCTATTACTATTGACTACCTTTTATGCAGCCTTGCTGTAAACATGTGTACCAGCCATCTTCGCTGTTGACTAGCTTCCGGGGCCCTGCGCAAAACACCTTCCTTCTTTCCAGTCAGACTATTGCCTGAGAGGCAAGGAACCACCAGTGTGCATACAAATCTTCACAGGCTGAGTTTGAAGTCACCAGTAGTCAAGAAATGCTCTCAGCTAAGAAGAAAGCAAGCACCGTGACCAAGGATATAGCAGTCTGAACAGAGCTGAACTGATTTACTATTCATTAGTTTAGTGAACATAACTGTATTTTAACATTAGTATATCTTAGAAAACCTGTCATCATATTTGATTTTTCAATAATGGTTGCTATTAGCATGTAGTGTAAGCCTTAACGTATAAGACTCGGATACAGCCTTTGTCTGACTGGACATACCGCATATATCAGATTCATTGCATCTGACCAACAGAGGTAGAGAGAAATGATCAGGTAATCAGCATCACCTTGTGAATTGAATGAAGTGCTGTGATATAGAACTACAATGATGATGATGGTATGCCTTACTACACACTTATTTGAGTTCTGAGTTATCTTTCTGGCACTGCAGACACGTCCACAGGTGTTCAAATTCCCTATTCAGCATATACCTCAGTGTCCTGTGGGTAACTGTGCCAGTCTGCATCACAATTATTATGATCACTATCAATCATGGATCATAAGAAATAAGTTGAATTGAGAATTGACATTACAACACTCAGGACACTCCCATAAGCGCTCCAATCCCTGTCTTCAGCAGCAAGCAAAGAGTTCCAATTCTAATGCCACCAGTCTTATTGTCTTATTGTATATTTATCTTGCCTTCCCATTGAGTGTTGAGCGTCGGCCAGATCCCCTGGTAACTCCTCACATTGCCATACTCTTCAGACCATAATTATCTGTGGATTATAAGAAGTAGAAGTTACAGTTTTGCTTATTTTGTATTAATTTAAAATACACATAAATGCATTTGCTTCTATTAGGAATAACATTCTTACGAATATTAGTATAATACAATCACTTAACCGCACAAGGCTGCAGGGTTCACTGCTTACTGTAGTTGTCACAAGTGTTGTATATCTATTACAAGCGTTAAGGAACACTTTCTTTCATCCGTCATAAAACTGTAGTTGATTGTTTATGAGCCTGGAGGTGACTTTAAAGCCCAATACTGACCCAAAAGGATCTAGGACAATGAGGGCAGGAGACACTGTCTGTAGGTAAACATACCCTATCACATGTACCCTGGTTTTAACTCCCTTTGAGGTTAAACAGTGTATTTTAGTTTTTCCTGCTGGATTGCCGTTCAGGATGCAACTCTTCTAGTCACTGGAATCGTCAAATTGTCAGGTACTAGCCTGGAGCAGACACACAGACACCAATGATACATTCTTTTATCGAAAACAATATTCACTTGATCGTCTCAGACACATTGGGCAGAGGTTATATTGTATTAGTTGATGTTTAATAGTTGTACAAAGGATGCACATATTGGCAAAAGTATACTAAGAAATGTCTGGGAAGTTTGAAACATTGTTTTTTTTTTTTTTTTTTTTTTGAATAATAATTGACTGTTTTGAAGTTTATTTTATTTCCTTTTTACATGAAAAGATATAGTTTGAATTTTGTCATTATGTTGCAGTGATTGTTCACCACATTGTTGTTGTTATCAGCATTCTTGTTATATTCTGTTTCATATTAATACATTTTCCATGAGTTAATAAACAATGATTATATACCACATGGTACAAAACTTATGTGTCATTTAATGTTGACCTGATAATTTGAACCTTTAGTGCTATTGAATAGTGTTTACCTAGACAGCCTTTTTTTTTAAATATCTAGAAACCATGAGTTATTAATTAACCCTTTGGTTCGGTACTGTGGATATTACAACCCTTAGGCCTTGATTCCACGGTAGATACAGTAAACGTGGGCGATATATGACTTTTCTGCCTACCCCCGGATGTGAACCCGGACCACAAGGAGTTCATCACCCGGTTGCCGCACAGTCAGGTTTAACCAACTGAGCTAGCAACCCAGGATACCTTTTCTGTTTTTAGTAGTGCTCAAATGATATTATAATGAAAATTAACAAAAACAAATTTAAAAATGAAGATTTATTTTACTGAATTATTTATTAGTCGAAATAATTGTGTTTTTGTACATATAGATCTTGGCAGCCGCTGTGATGTAGCAGCCCTATGCTCACTTGCAAATGTGAGGTTTGTGGGTTCAAATCCAAACAGAGTTAGACTTTAAAAAAAAAAACCTTGGCTGTCAGCTTGACCCAGTCCTAAATGAGTAGCAGGAAAAGTCCTGGGAAGTAAAGGTCTCTGGAGGGATGTTATGCCCATCACCCACCAAGTGCTGATTGGTCTGTAAAATTTAGGTCTAGCATTATATAACCAGCATGCCTAAAGACGTGGAAATGTGTCTTTCACTTTTTCTTTCCACATAGCTTTTGTAATCCTCATCTGCAGAAACAGTATAGCTGTTTATGTTTCCTGACACAGAAACATGGCGGCACTGTGGCGTAACTGTTGCAAGTCCGACCCGTAATTCCAATGTACCGTGATCCAAACCACTGCTGGCTGAATGGAATTTTATGATTGTATGGGGCGTGGCAAGTCCACCCAGCCTTAAAATGGCTACCAGGATGTATGTCCTATGGAAGTAAAGACGGCCGGCCTAATGCTGACCACATTACCCACCTAGTGCCAATTGGTCTGTAAAATTACTTGTCCCAGAACTTGAGTTTTAGTGTATGCTAACATCCAAGGCTTTTTTCTTTGTGGGGTACAATGGTACGCACAACTGGCACCCTATTTTGCACATGATATTTTCAGCACTACTGAAATAAAAACTTTGTGGTTGGTACAGGAACTTTTTTTCCTACTTCACATAGATTAGTGGCCAGAGGTGTTACTGTCCGTTTCACGGAAGATATAGCAGTGGAGACATTTGGTCTAAATTGGAGGATTAGGCATGGCAGAATTTTAGTTTTGAAGTTATTTTTACTTCCCACAGCGCTTTGCTAGTGCAGTTTCCACATATGGACCGTAATTTACGGTTTCGCTACTGGGTTTAGAGCTTGGTGCAGCCCTGTAAGCCATTCATTTGTGCTTCTGTTGTGTCGTGGGATTCAATGAGGGCCGTAGCCGGTTTACGTGTGAACTGGTAAAATACCTCATGTAATTCTACGTCTTAATAGCCTACTTATCGTGCCGACTATTTTCATCAACGACAAACTGCATTTCTGGGGGCGACTGTTGTCTTTGGTGTCTCTAGCAACTGCCATATGCACTTACTGCGTGCGTATATTTCTGGTTTTTGCCGGGACTAACTGTTTATTTACCAGCTTTTCATGTGGAAAATCGAAGGTCATTTCATTAGATTTTCACTGGCACAGGAACGGAGCAAGAATGGGGAAACCCGAAGACAGTTAAGTTGCAACCTCGACTAAGACTAAAACTAAGAACTTTTTTTTTCTGCTATTGAAAAAAAAAGTCCTACTAACACCATGAATGCCATGTTCGTAATAAGGAATCATAATTTTTCTATTGTATAAATAGCGCAGAGGAAGTTATCAGAAAAAGAATCTTGTAATATGAGAAACTCTCTTAAGTGGCTCTTACGAAAGCAGTTATAACCGGTGACTGCTTTGTCGATGGTCACAGAATGGTTTTTATAAAGTGCAAGCTAGTGCAGCATGTGCACTGAGCTTCAGAAACAAACTATGAAAACCACACATGGATATTTTCAGTGCTTTAAAGATGGATTTCTATCACATTATTTAGTCACTCGGAACCAAAGACGTGCTTCTTACTGTGTCTAGTGAATTTTTTTCAGTGCTGTTTTAATACAATGTAATCTGCACACAATTCACTTGCCTCTATTTTTCCATGTTTAGCATTTTATCTTAGTCGGAAGGGGAAACAATACATAGATGTCCATTATCAAGTTATTTATCGTTCTGTCACAGGTGAGTTTTGGACGCAAGAACGATTTTGTTATAATCTGCTAACATTCTTCTTCTTCTCCTATTCCTTCTTCTTCTGCTTCTTCTTTTTCTTCTTCTTCTAAGGCCCATTTGGGCAAAATCACCACCTGCGAGACGAGATGCCTGAGAGAGCCGCTAGCCTAACTATCAGAGATCAAGTGAGTAATGGCACTATGAGACGGATTGTGGGAACGACACCTTTTAATAGATTCATCGAGAAACAGCACATCAAACTGTTTGGTCATTTCGTTAGAACGCAGCACATCGAATACCATCACTACATCTCATAGGATCTGCTACAAGACCAAGATAACGACCTCGACAGTATCGATCGACAGCATTAAAAACACTTTACGGCATGGCAAATAGCTAGTGCCAGCCAACGTGCACTATATTTAAATATATTGTAGTAACACGGGTCTGTGAATGTAAAACTTACATAACGGAAATCACACGCAAAGGATTGGATTTCAATTTGATGGGAGTAGTCACCACTTGACATGTAGTATGTCGTAAGATATCACAAGTAACCAACGCCTTTATCGGTCAAGCAGCAAGGACGAAAAGTCAACCACGTGACCTTGCTGTGGATTGTCCTTTAGAAGTACTAACGGTCGGTAAATAAGGTCACCAACAGTTTCTTTCTATCATTTGGCTTCACAGTGTACAGGTCTCTACTTCAGTTAGGATCTCTCTCTGTTGCTGTCAGTCTGTCTGTCTGTCTGTCTGTCTGTCTGTCTGTCTTTCTCTCTCTCTCTCGCTCTCTCTCTCTCTCTCTCTCTCTCTCTCACTCACTTGCTCTCTCTCTCAGTCCTGGAGAGTAAAGGTGTCAGTATGATGCTGACCACATCACCAAAAAGTGCCGATTGGTCTATAAAATATAGGTATAACCCAATATGCCCAATAAGCCTGAAGGCGTGGAAAAGGGTCCTTTACTGTACTTTACTTTACCCCCCCCCCCACCTCTTTCTCTCTCTCTCTCTCTCTCTCTCTCTCTCTCTCTCTCTCTCTCTCTCTCTCTCTCTTTGGATGTGTGTGTGTATTGGGTGCCTATGTGTGTGAGTGAATGAGTTTGCGTGTGGGTGTGTGTGTTCGCGCGCGAGCGTGCCCACATATTTTACCACCCATGCTTTTGTTTTTGAAATACAACCGCCGTGTGAAAGATGAGAGTTTGGAAGGGACGAATGTAAGACAGGCCTGCGTGCCTAATTTGTAACCCT